ATGAAGAAAGAGATAAGATCTTCAATTTCATATTTTTCGAGCCTGTGATTTCCATTGGATTTGTTGTTGGAATGGATAAGATTTTTTATATATAATCAATTTCTCGTATATGGAGATCTAAATTGGATCCTTTTCTTGTCTTCTTTATGCTAACTATTGAAATTGTTCTCTAGATATATATATATATATATATATATATATATATATATATATATATATATATTTGTAAACCAAGATAGTAAACCAAGATAATTACATTAATAAAAACTCATACTCTTCATATAGAGAAGGGAATACAAGATATTAGGCTACCTTTTGTGGGAATACAAGATAATAGGCTATCTTTTGCTAAAACATCAGCTCCACAGTTTTCACACCTCGGAACGAACATAGATAGAAACATAGAACGAAAGAGATTGAAATTGTTCTATATATGTTTTAAATATGAAGCCAAACCGACCAGTTACGAAATAACAAGAACATTATAAAATCATAACCTAAAATTACATAAAATAACAAACATCTTAAATATATACAAAATAGCCATGATAAAACTGGATTTTGTCTAATCTCGAAAGCATCAGAATGAAAGCAAATCCAAAGTGAAAAATGAGACATGTTGAGTTTAGTTTAATAATTACATGTGGATTACTACAACTCGGATGTGCATGGAAAAGATATATTGACTCTATTAGGCTGCTGGCTAAAGGAAAAGAGACTCTGTTAGGCTTATTTTGTCGCTGCTACGGAGAATATAATCAAAGTTTATTGGAAAGTTATTTTGTTCAATTGCGTATTAAAAAGCCGGTATCCAACTTTTTTTTTATATGGATATATAGCCAGCCCTATACATGAATTTTGAATATTGGAATTAAGGGTTGATTGATAAAATGGTTAAAAAAAAATTTAGCAGAAGAAGACAGATACTAAAATAACTTAGAAAGTACAAAAATACTTGTAAAAAAGATTGTATTTGGCATCATGTTTATGACTATTAACAATTAAAACGATATAACTTTTATCACAGCGATATGAGAAATCCAATACCATAATTTTTTGTATTCATTATCATATAATGTTTGTACAAAAAGTAACCTTGGAGACATATGTGCACAAAAACATATCAAAAAGAAAGAAAAATGTTACAATTACTAGTAAATTGCTAAAACAAATGTTCAAACTAGCAATTTTGTTTGTAACTCTACTTCCTAGATATATAAGATGCGAAATTAGTATTCCACTTGCTAAACATATACCTCGTATTATATATACTTTTTTTAAAAAACCCTCGTATTATAGTTTTTGATAGTAACTAATTAATTGTATAACACTGTGTTCTTTTAACAAATTTTGATATTACTTTTGGAAAAAAATTGATAAAGCAAACTGTCAAGGGGGACGGGGAATCAAGCCTTTGACCTCATCGACAAATCCACATACACGATTAAGGATTTGAGTTCTCACTTTTTGCTGTTTCAATTTTTTGCGTAGTTTCATAATATGTTAGATAAAATACATCGTATTATATCGTCAAATACTGTGGGAGAATATATGGTGATGAATGACATCTTGCAATTTTTGTATGTGGAGAGTAGATTTGCAAAAACATTAGATTTTGAAAATAGTTTTGCATTTCTCTTACTAATTAATATTAGGTTCAACTAGATCATTTCATGTCATTTTGTTGTTATCTATAATACATTATACTTATAGGGTGGAAACCTTGGAAATTTATTTTTATTAGTTTGCTTAACCGAAAAATATTTCGGATTCAATTATTACAGATTATATATGAATGAAATAATGAATTTCTATTTGTGGCTAATTGCATAATGGATGTGAGATTATATAGACAAATTTAGGGGGTGAATGGAGACGGCGGATTTCTAAACTGCGGGACGTTTTTCATGGGACCCATTGATATGTTACCAATCAACAAAATATTACAAGTGCGGGACGTTTTTTTTTATTTTTTGGGTTGCGAGTGCGGTTCAATTTTTTTTGTAAAAATTGTAGTTGGCCCGCTACAGTAAATTCACATCCTATTTGATGTGTTTGCGTTATGTGGTATCTACAGTCTATAGAGATATGTGTAATTTAAAAAATAGAACTTGTATTAACCATTTATTTAATTATACATGTTATTTTGGTTTGTTTTATTTCTTTGTCATATTGTTTTTTTCAAATATATGATATATAATATGTATTTGTATCACCATATTTATTTAAATTATGTTTAAATACTTAAAATATTTATGAAAAACCACATGTATTTAAATAATTAGTTAAAAAATATTCGAAAAATTAATAATACAAATATGTTATAGAAAAATTAAAATATTCGAAAATATTTTTCTGTTGTATCATATTGTTTATTATGAAATTTTTTATTTAATATATATATATATATATATATATACATATTTGAATGTTTAATTAAAATTATTTAACTACAATGTATATCCCGCACCGCTTTTGTTTTTTACCAATCAAACATTATTTCGCACCGCTTATTTACAAAAACCGCATTTGTTCCGCATACCGCACGTACCGCAGTTGAACCGTACCGCACTGTCATACCGCTTTCTCCGCACAATAAAAACCGCGGTTACCATTCGGACCCTTAGAAACCTAACTTGTCTACTCCACACGCCTTCCGGAAACAAGTCAAATCGAATAAAGTGAATTGAGAGACAATACATGGAATTGATCTAAACATAAGTGGGTAAACCCATTACTATGTTCTCGTCACGCTAGTGTAAATTCATTTATGTTCATTTACTGGTATAGTACCTTTTGTTTTTGTTATATGAATGATATACAAAATTTTAAATTATTGGTAAAATCATATTATATATTGTTGCTTTGACGATATATACATATTATTTAAAATATAATCAAATGGACATGTACGAAACAACTGCACCGTGCGGAACGATCTCCATTTAGAATCCATAATGGCCGAAGAAATAGTTTATATATGATGTTGTAACGAAATACGTGTATATATATAGTTTCAATTTTTTCATAATTGGTATGTGACATGGTCTTATTGCGTGGAAATTTGTAAACTTTTGTTTCTTTATCGATAATAACATAAAAAGATTGTGTGTTATTTCTTCATACATCTATTTTCCTTCATTCATACATCGTTACGCCTATTTTTCAAATGTAATATATTCCATACACCATTTTATTAGGTTGCATGTGAGTTTTGGATTCACTTATGCATGGTACAATATCCAAGTTCTAAAAAGACTTTGAGGTAGAATAAAAATCTATAGTTTGGGCGAAGGAAACAAAAATAAAAAGGTAAATTTCTTTTGGGGGAGAGTACTGTTGTTTGCCCTACAAACCAAGGCACTGAAATCGAGTTGGTATTATTAGGGCATCATCAATGGGGGATCATGTGAGGGTGTTCTTATAGAGAATATAATGTTAAAATAATGTAAGATCATGTGTTTAGATCTTTTGTTTAGAAGTTGATTAGTGGGAGAACATGTGTAAGATCTTAAGACTTAATAATATAATAATCTAAATTAAATTAAGATTTTATAATTATTAAAACATTTAAAAATAACATATAAATTGCAAATGCCAAATTTATGAAAAACTGAAAATAAAAGTGAAAATACAATACTAGATATTTATGAAAAAAACATTAAAAATATAAATAACAATAAACAAACAAACATATTACTTAATAAAAGCACAAAAACATTTTATCTAATTAATACATAGTTTATTATCCAAATTTATTCCAAATATGTTGAATATTCCAACCAATGCCCAAATGCCACGTCACCCCGCAACACCCACAAGAACAGATCCAGGTCAAGAGCCCAGTTCCTGATCTTAAGCCCGTTAACCCATTTTTTTGGATTTAAATAATGCTTAGATCAGGGGGGGTGATCCCCCAATGCAGATGGTCTAAGGACACTTAACGTTTGGCACCCATGGCCTTGGCCATGTGCATTGTTCGTCCTCTTCTTAAAGGGTACTATTGTCATTTTCAATTTTTATAACACTAAAGTCGACACACCAAATTGGGAAATAAGATCCATATATAAGGTACTTGTTCTAGATTGATTAAAAGAGAAAACACAAAGTAAATGAAATAGTTGAAGTAAAAGACATGAAAACCCTTTTTGGAGAAAACTAATAAGAAGAGGAAGAAGCAAGAGAGGCTTGGTCTTCTTTTCTGATTCTGAAACTGTCTTAATAAGAGTGAGAAGTACTGTTCATGCAAGATGTGTCCCTACCAAACAAAACTGTCCTCACTGCCATCTTCAATAATACTTTACGGGACCCCTCTCTCGAGTCCTAGTCCCAACTCCCAACGCACAATCTCATTGTGTCTATACAGAGTTATATATACACACTACTTTTTTTTTTCCACCATTTTGTTAAGTTATGGAACAAATATTTTCCTTTTGAAAGAACCCATCCAAAATCGTTATATCTATATGAAAAAATAAAAAAGCTCGATATCTTGCCTATAGATACACTATATAGTATGGGGATGTGCCTTTAGTTTAACCACTTAACTCCGTTTTCCCCACTGGAGTTCGACTCCATTAAATCGTGTTATCCTAAATAGTAAGAATTGGCTATGGATCGGGCCATGTCGATCCAAAGATATAAAAAATATAGATATATATACACTATATAATATAGAATTATGTAGATACTTAAAACATATGGTAAGAAAACGAAATAAATACGGTTAATATGTAACACCAATGAAGCCAACATATCCAAAGATACCAAAGTAAAAAATTCGTTAAGAACCAAAAAAAAAGAGAGTAGTGTCCCGAAAGAAAATTATTTTGAATGCCCAAAGAAGACAAGATGATAAACATTTGATCTGGAGGACAGGACACACCCACGTAGATTTTGTCCAAAATTTAGGTTAAAAATAAAATAAAAAGGTTATCTGTTCCCGTATTAAATATTTATTTCATAATACATATATATACGCGATTTAAGTCAAATATATTACTGTATGTGTGCGTATAAAATATAGACGACAGTCGACTATTTAGGTGGTTAGTCTTTTTTCACCCTTGGTTTTTTTTTATACATGCACCGAACCTCTTCTTCTTCTCTTCCTTTTCTTCTCTCCTTTTATATATATGGAAAGCTGCATTTATTAAGAACAGTTTAGAAAGTGTCAACCCCTAAAGGAATGTTTTTTTGTTGAGAGGAGAGAGAGAAGAAGAAGAAGTTGTTAATTTGAAGACTATTTGAGGGAAGAAAAGTTATAAAAATATACTTCAGAAAAAGTTCCATTGGAGAGACTCTTAAAGCTTTAATTTGATTCTCATGTAAGCACTCTTGTAATATACTGTTTTGTGCATTTACTCTTCTTCTTCTTCTTCCTTCTTTCATATGATTAACATTCAATGCAAAATTCTTTTAAATTCATTTTACAAAAACTTATCTAAGTTCTGCTACTTTTCTTGTTTCCTCTCTCTGCGACATTCCTTATCTCTCAAAATTTAATGTTCTCTCCTCGTACATACTCTTTGTTCTGTCTTAAGAATTCACCCACCAAACCATTACTTTCTTCAAACCCACTTTAAGTTTCAATTTTTTCCAAAAGGGTAACCAAAACTTAATCTCTCTCTATTTTTCTTCTTTGTTGAAGCTAACTATGGGTGGATTAATGAGATATGGTGAACTAGGAGAACAATTTGGTCAGATTTCAGAAACTACAATTGAAGAGAAGATCCCATTTCTGCAAATGCTTCAATGCATAGAACACCCTTATACAACAACAGAACCAAATCAGTTTCTCCAATCACTTCTCCAGATCCAAACCCTAGAATCAAATAGCTGTCTCACCCTTGAAACCACCATCAAAACAGATCCGGGTCAAACAGATGACCCGGAAAAGGATCCAAGAACAGAAAACGGAGCAGCAACGGTCAAAGAAAAGAGAAAACGGAAACGTACAAGAGCTCCAAAGAACAAAGACGAAGTTGAAAAACAAAGGATGACTCACATTGCCGTCGAACGTAATCGAAGACAACAAATGAACGAACACTTAAACTCTCTCCGATCTCTTATGCCTCCTTCGTATATTCAACGGGTAATATATTGCTTTAGTCAAGTTTCTAACTCTTTCTCTCAAGAACGTAATTTTTTTTTCAAGAACGTAATTTAGCTTAACAAGAAAACGTGTTTGTTTCTTTAGGGTGATCAAGCTTCGATAGTAGGAGGCGCAATAGATTTCATCAAGGAACTGGAGCAACTTTTGCAATCTCTAGAAGCTGAGAAACGAAACGATGGAACTAATGAAACTCCTAAAACGGCGTCGTGTTCTTCATCTTCGTCTCGTGCATGCACTAACTCTTCTGTTTCTAGCGTCTCTACGACGTCGGAAGATGGATTTACGGCGAGATTTGGCGGCGGAGAGACGGCGGAAGTGGAAGCTACGGTGATACAGAACCATGTGAGCTTAAAAGTTCGGTGTAAGAGAGGAAAAGGACAGATCTTGAAAGCTATCGTCTCGATTGAAGAACTAAAGCTTGCGATTCTACATCTCACTATCTCTTCTTCTGTTGACTTTGTCATCTACTCTTTTAATCTCAAGGTAATAAAAAATCTTCAATCTCTAATCATATCTTAAATTAACTGTTTCAATTTCCACTTGTTTAAGCATATTATTATAATAAGTATTCTTGTGTAACTAGCAATTTTTGACCTTTTGAGGAAAATTAAGGAATCTGCATTTTGAAATGTTTGGTTAAGAAATTTAAAATGCATGAGAAACAATAATAGAAGATTTCTATAAATGTATGTGTTTTTTTTTTTTTTACAATAAGCTTAGAACATTTTCTTTAACGTTTTCTGTAGTTGCTAATTTTTGTTTAAGTTTGGAGAGATGAGAAATGAATGGTGTTGTGCATGCAGATAGAAGATGGTTGTAAATTAGGATCAGCAGATGAGATAGCGACAACCGTTCATCAGATCTTCGAGCAAATCAACGGTGAAGTGACCACATGTGGTCAAATCTTAGTCGAACTTAGTTGAATTTTGACTCCAAGTTATGTGTGTAACCCTAAGAAGAATAACTAAAGAGGTAAAAGTTTGGGAGAGTTTTTTTTTTTCTTTCACTTTTTAGATTTTAGAGTAGTCGCAGACTTGCAGTGTTCTACAATGCCACATGAAGGTTATTATTGCCTGTAAATTTTGAAGAGATACTAACCCATGAATTCAGTTTGACCCCAGAAAAAAAATAAAATAAACCATGAGTAAATATTTATTCCCATCTATAAATGTTTCCCATTAAGAAGAACTTGACTTTAGACGTCCGTATTAGAATTGTTACGGAAATGGAAACAAATACAATTAAAGCTGAACATCATTACAAAGAAAAAACGTCGTCTTCACATTTCGCATTCTCTTTTATTAATAAGATTTTATTTTCCATATATATTAATTAATAATATTACATGCGTCTGACAAATCTACGCTTGGTAAAAAGTGACAGCTACAATATAAATTTAAATATATTTTTTTGCATCAACGTCTAGAGACTAAAAAAATACAGTACTTTATTGTATAATGACACTAGTTTTTACTTTTTATCTTAACTTATAAAACGATGAGAAAGGTGGCAGAGAAAAATTAATATTCCAAAGATAAAAAAGCATCGTAAAAGGAAGTCTATGGTCAGAGTCTCATTGACACATCCGTCTCACTTGTAATACGTAAAACTTCGCCTATTTCACATTACTTTTTCAAAAATTTAATTCATATATGGGTTTCCGAATAGTTTTTAATAATTTTTAACTTTTGGAACTCTGAATTAAGAACTTATTAAATCGGAAAAAACTAAAATCAGATACAAAACGAATCCGATTATATATTTGAATTCTGCAAAATAATATTATCAATAAAAACATATTATTCAGACAGCAATAATACATTTATTTGAATATTCAATATTGTGTGTAAGAGTGAACGACAAGATCATACGTCAGAGATAATCGACTGGTAACAACTCTGATCTTTTCCAACTTTTGGTCAAAGTCAAACCATTTGGTCACTTTTACAGGCAAATTTTCAAATAAATTAAATAATTATTGAGTTAATATGTAAATTACTCATTTCTCTAGAGGAAAAAAAATTAACTCATTTTTCGTTTTGGGCTCAAGACAAAAGCCCTTCTAAAATCTTTAAAAGATATTAGCCCAGTTAAGCTATAGAGGCCCAGTTAAGCCCAGACAAAAAGAGCCGATCGTTCCACGTTCGATTGACATGCGCGTGTCTATTACGCGTGGTATTATTTATTCAAATAAAGATTCCTTAGCTTTATTCTTTAGTGGGTCCTCACGAGTCATATTCGTGAAATTGAGGTTTTTTTTTTTTTTTTTTTTTTTTTTTTTTTTAAATTGAGGTTTTGGAACGAACTCGGGGGGTTTGATTCGAATTTCGAAAGTTTTGATTTTATATTGAGTTTTCTAAGTCGAGGAATCTGTTACTTTGATGATTTTTTTTTGATTTTTTGAAGAATATTTGATAGTTGTAAAGAGTTTGTAGATGTTTTTGAATACAGAATTGGTCAACGACTCAACGTAGCACAACGAACTTTTTAATAAAGAATTGGTCAACGTAGCACAATTAGTGTAGATCTTTAAATCATCGAGCGAATTAAGGAATTCTACTAAATCGATGATATCTGCAAATGTCATGTAATTCATAATATTTCATACATAAAATATTTAGTTTTCCATGTGATATAGTGTGGTAAAAACATACGACAATTAACATATCTCTTCTAAATCCACGATGAGTTATAAACTTTTTTTTTTTTTTTTTTCTAAGAAAGTTAATATCATGAGATAAAAAGTTTAGGTGTTACAATAAGACCTAGAGAATGATCCTTGGCAAAAAATAATAAAAAACAAGGAAACATTTGATAATACACAATCTCAATAAAAAGGAAAGAAAATGATTCCTTAGATGAGTTATAAACTTATAATACTAATCATAATTATTGAGGAATATACATCGTGAGTATCATCAAGTCTCGTCATCGCACTTTGCTTGAACGTGCAAGAAACTGCGAAACGCGTTTGGAGCAAAAACCGGGACACCCAAGTACCGTTTATTGATTTTTTTTTTGTGTGTGTGTGTGTGTGTGTTAAATACTTAAATCGAAAATTAATTAGCTAAGATTCACATATGATAACGTGCTTGGGCCAAAAAAAAAAAGAACGTGCATGGACCAACCAAACCATATATAGATATATTTTCATAGGTAATGGCGGGTCCCATTATTTTGATATAGATATATATTTTGGTAAACTTTATGTTTGATATATTTTCACAATGGAAGCATAATCTCAAGAATATGCCTCCAATAAAATTCGTTTGTACATGAAACCCTTACGTGTGACAGAATACTACGTAAACCCCACATAATAATTTAATCTGATTTAAATTAATGTAAAGTTTTCCAACAATCGATTTATTAATAACTTAAAAACAGCAAAAGTAGTAAAATTAACACACGACTAACAAAAAACATTAAAAACACATGAGAGGATAAGTAACATCAATTAATCTCCCTCAAAATGCCCTTTAGTAGGGCACAACAGTAGATTTCTTGTTTCACAAGACACAAGGAAAAGCCCTAAACTTAGAAATCATTAGAAGGAAGTGGTTCATGCCCATTACTACCGATAAAGATAGTATCATAAACAGTAGCTGCAATGGCTGCACCGATAAAAGGGCCAACCCAGTAGACCCAATGATTCGTCCAAGTCCAGCTAACCACGGCTGGACCAAAGGAAACCGCGGGGTTCATCGATGCACCATCGAACGCACCACCAACCAGAATGTTAGCTCCAACGATTAACCCAATCGCTAAAGGAGCAATGATTCCAATATCACCTTTCTTGGGATCCACGGCAGTAGCGTAAACCGTGTAAACTAACCCAAACGTCATCACAATCTCGAAAACGACTGCGTTCCACGGTGTCACTCCATGGGAGAGCGAAAACGCTGCCGTTTCCATCCCGCCTGTGCTTACCTTGAGCAACAAGCAAGCTACGACTGCTCCGAGTAATTGAGCGATCCAATAAAGAACAGCTCTCAACAACGTTATATTACCACCTATAAAAGCTCCAAAAGTAACAGCGGGATTCACGTGGCCGCCTGAGACGTTTGCACCAACGGAAACCGCCACAAACAACGCAAACGCATGAGACAAAGACGCGGCCACGAGCCCGGAAGGTGTGGCTGGACCATCTCCAGTTAGTTTTCCGTAAGCCATTCCAGAGCCTTGACCCGCGAAAACGAATATAACCATGGAGAAAAACTCCGCGAAAGCCGCTCTGATCGCATCGGGACGACTAGCTTCTCCTGGCGTTCCAATCGCAATTCTGTTGATAGCCATTGTTACAAAAAAATTTGCTTTCTTGCTTCTTCTTTAATATTTTTGTTCTCACTAAGTTTAAATAGTTAAAGCGTTAGGGCCAAGTGTGTGTAGGAGAATCGTTCAAGAGACTGAGATTAGTGTTTTACGGTGGGCCCTAGGTTATAAGAGATCGAACGGTGGTTATTATATCATATTTAATTAATAACTTAATTACGAATTAATTAAAGCTTAATCCGTTTTTCTCGGTTTCTATAAATACGATTATGGGTAGCAATTGAAGATCACGCGCTTTACTGTTTTCTCTTCCTCTTGTCACTTTTCTTTCTCCATACTTTCCGCAACATTGTTCTGTTCTGTTCTTGAAACGATTCTAAGGTACGACTTTTTTTAAAGTTATTGATCTCAAATTTTTGTTGTGTATCGATGTTTGATCCTCCGGATTTCGCATCAACCGGAAGATTTATCGAGAAATGAACGATAGAGATTGTTAGTCTTGATTCTAACCTTTGGTTCTGTTTTGCTCTGTTTATTAGATGAATGGACAAGAAGAAGTGAAAACGAATCAATCTCAGAAGAAGCTTCAGAACCCTACTCCACGTTTAAACGAGAGGATTCTCTCATCTTTGTCTAAGAGATCGGTTGCTGCACATCCATGGCATGATCTTGAAATCGGTAATAATCATTGTTAAAAATTTTGTGTGTTTTGAGTCTTATAGATTAGAGTCTGTTTAACTAAATGATTCTCTGTTTGCAGGACCTGGAGCTCCAGTGATTTTCAATGTGGTAAAGTCTTATTGCTTGATGATGTGACAATCGGATGCGGGTTTTGGTATTAAGAAGATCACAAAAGAGTTAATCATTTTGTCTTTTTGGATGAAATTAGGTTATTGAGATCTCAAAGGGGAGCAAAGTCAAATATGAACTTGACAAAAAAACTGGACTCATCAAGGTATAAAGATATCAAATCTTGAAAAAAAAAAACAGAATGATCTGAATTCAAATATATGATGATGATCTTAAGTGTTTGAATATGTCTCTCAGGTTGATCGGATTCTGTACTCGTCGGTTGTGTATCCTCATAACTATGGTTTTGTCCCGCGCACACTATGTGAAGACAATGACCCTATAGATGTTTTAGTTATCATGCAGGTTTGAGTCTAATCTAACATTCACCATATTAAAAAAATCAAATGGCTGAAACAATTCTTATCAAAGTTGTTTCTGTACAGGAGCCTGTGCTTCCGGGTTGTTTTCTTCGTGCCCGAGCTATTGGTTTAATGCCTATGATTGACCAGGTAACATCCAAAGCTTTAACTTTTCATGTTTCCTTGTGCTTCAAGTTTGTATAAAGCATTGTAGCTAATTCTTGGGGTTTTGTCTTGAAATAAAGGGTGAAAAAGATGACAAGATCATTGCAGTTTGTGTTGATGATCCTGAGTATAAGCATATCACTAACATCAATGAACTTCCTCCTCATCGTCTTTCTGAAATCCGTCGATTCTTTGAAGATTGTATCCTTAAAACTATATTAATTCTTGATTAGTAAACAAAACCATTGCTTTTTATTTTTGTTATCTTTAACCAAAATATAACAGACAAGAAGAATGAGAACAAAGAAGTTGCAGTGAATGATTTTCTACAACCTGGTCCTGCTATTGAAGCCATTCAATACTCAATGTAAACCTTTTTTTTTAGTCTCTAACATTCCTTTTTTTTCAATAATCTTTTAAGCAAATCTTGATTTTTGAAATCATTCACAGGGACCTTTACGCTGAGTACATTCTTCACACCCTGAGGAGATAGATAAAAAAAGGACTTCTTGAAGAACATTCCTGCCAATTTTTGCTCTGCAATCTCAGATTTTGTTGCAGTGAATATGCAAAAGAACAAGAACTTGTCTGATATTTCGATTTTTGAATAAGCACGTGTCTCATATTTGGCTTTAACTCTTTCTTTTGTTGTTGTTGTTTTCTTCTGGGGATGTTTTGTCTGAACATTAAGAATTTTCTCACTTGTATTTGTAACACTGTCTTTGGATCTTTTTTTTAATAATAATTTCAAGCTTCGATTTGGTTCCAATGAAACCAGACTTATTTTTTTATAATCAAGTGTCACTGTCATTTTAGAAGAGTCCCCATTCAACATTTGTTTTCCTCTGAAATCCAAATCACAATTAGATTTGCAGAATCAGAATGAGAAAATGTCAGGTGGTGGAGAACTTTTTTTTCTTCTTTTGTCAGATAGTTGGATCTGCTGCTCACCCAAAATGGGCCTGGCCCAGTAAATATCAATATCAGTAATACGGCGCGTGTATGTCAATCTCATTTTCACTGAAAAGCTTTTGCTACCAGAATTCTTTTACCAAAATCCATATTAGTTCACTATTTTTTTTTTTTTTTTCTTAAGGACGGGAGATAATGTCTTCCAAAATTTATTATAAACTTAAAGCAAAACAAACTTATCCGCTGTCATTCCTAGTATGCTTGTGCTATGACTTCATTACGAAGGACTGAATTGTCCGTAACTCAGTATTTCACATGTGTATAGGGAAGCTAATCGTCTTGCAGACAAATTAGCTAACTATGCGTTCTCTTTACAGTTGAATTTCTATATGTTGGCTTCAACTCCAGAGTTTATTAGTTCGAAGATTTAATTTGTATTTTCTTTTTTTAATAAAATGGGAGACCATGTCTCCCTCTTTCACACCAAAAAAAAAAAACAAAAAGCAAAACAATTACACGGGTACTTATCTTTGCCGCGTAGACTCAAGTGCATCATCCCTTAAATCGAAACAAATTCAATTGAGGCAAAAGCCAAAGAATGAAAATTTAATGGTAAAGAAAAAACTTTTGTTACTAGAATATCTTTTACCAAAATGCATATTAGTTCTCTAATTTTTCAAATACGAGCTCAATACTCTATTTTGTTTTATAATAACTGACTGTATATTATCTGTTATACTTATACCCCTACTTTGAATTTACTTTCAAAACAAAAGTAATAGGATTAAGCTTTTATTATAAGGTGAATTGTGAAAATAGTTAATAATTATACAGTAAAAATGTAGAACATTATTTAAAATGAAACAAAAAAATTGGCTAACACATCACTTATTATAAAACAGAAAATATTTATGATTAGAAAATATAAATAATTATATACACATAACACTAGAGAACCAATATTGTTACTATAGCAAAAAAATTGCAAAGTAGTGGTTGGAAATAATATAGTTTTTTTTTTTTTTTTTTTTTTTCTTTTTTTTTTTTCTAATGCTTCTGTTTCTTCATATTTGCACATTATTATACTTACATGCTACAATTGCAGAAAATTTAATGGATCAAACCAACTGCATGATAGATCAAATGTAATTATGATGACTCTTTTGTCAACGATCCCTCAAATGCATGATGGATTGCATGCACGAGATGATCCAAGTATATATTTAGGTCTGGGACAAGCAGAAGGAATACCTACATATAATATTCTTGAGAGTAACTGGACTATATTTGCTCCTACGATGATAAGACCCATTCTCCATACATTAATACTATATATTATGCACACCCATACGCGCGCACACATTTCAAGTTTAATCTAACATTGACTACGGTTACATTAACTCTTAATGTTTCAGTTATTTCTTGGTTCCCAGAATGAAACTGGACCGGCTACTTTCATATCAAAGAATAGCTATTTTCCCGCAAGTGTCTGCATCTTAATAAATACACAACAGAATTATAGCATTTTTCTTATCATACGTACTACGAAATTTCATAAAGCATTGCTTGTTTCCTAAAGGGGACCAAATTAATCCCAAACTTTTTTCGATGGTATAGAAAAGGTCGAAAATCCCCCAAAAACCCAAAAACAATATACCTCCAAGTTGAAGAAAGTAAATAGATAATATATTAAAAAGGAAAAATGTGTGAAGGAAAAGCGTGGGAGGCTCTTTTGCGACAAACTCTACATGGACGCGGTGGTCCACTGGTCCTTACCCTAATCGTTTGTTGATATATTTTTATCATGTTATCATTTCGAAAACGTTATATAGTATATTAGTATATTACATAAGATGTGTTGAAGATGATTAGTTTCTATTTTCTAGAACAATTAGAAAATTTAAAGGCTAGATATGTATTTTCATATATAGTAGGGGAGGTGCTACTTTTATCACTTTTAGGTACTGATTAACCAGGAAATTAAATCATGGAAAAGCTAAAATCTAAATTATATTGCCGTACGTACTTATTAATTCCTAGGACAATTTTTTCATACAACTCGAGTAATTCTTATTGCTAGGACTAATTTCAGAGTATGCAAGTTAGTTTTGGGGACAAAGACACCATGTAAAGTATCCGGACCAAAACTTATAAGAACGAGAATACGAGTCTAAAAAACAAATTAACGAAATTCAGCAAAACATGTCTATGTCCTCACATTTCAACAGTTAGATTTTCTTTTTTTTTTTTTTTTTTTTTTTTGATAACCCAGGTGTTCGGTCCCACTGAAGTGGGCCGACTAGCGTCGTGTCCAAGCGGAGCTGACGTGGTCCTGGAAGCCTGCAGCCGCCATGTGAATTCCGCAGTGGCCAGGAATCGAACCCAGGTGGCGGTACCCCCAGCTGGAGGCCCTTTACCACTAGGAGACAACTCCTGGTTAACAGTTAGATTTTCAAATTTGAATATTATTACTTAACTATATCATACCAAAAAATTTAATGTGTGCTACCGTAAGTTTTAGAAGTAGGCACAGAACGGGTATCCTTGAATTTTAAAATACTCTTTACTTTCACCCGATCCTTATAAGTTATTAAAAAAATTACTCTTACTCGACCCTCAACTAATGTGTACCTAAAAAATGGGTATCCGGTAAATATACTTAGTTGGCCCGCTAGATATCCGATCTTTTACCTTTACATGCACGTTTATTAATAATTTATGTGTAAAAGTTTTTATCATAACCGCATGATAATTAATTCTATATTCCAAAATAAAAGTATTCATTTACAAAAAAATATCATAACATATGCAACATATAGTTCCAAAAAATATAAAATTACAACCTTAGCTTTAAATCTCACTCTTAAGATATATTTATAAAATATTAGTAATATTATAATACACTAATAAAACGAGTATTTACGAATTAGGTACTAAAGCGGGTAACAAGATGGGTAACGAGACGGATATTACTTTTTTCCTTAAATACCCAATACTCGGCCATTATCCAAGGATAATAGAATTATAATACTCTTTCACTCGACCCTAAGGTTACAAATATCCTTTTTTGAGACTGATACAAATCGAGTAACTTGTCGAATATGGGTAATGGATATCAATACCTAGCCCTAGTAAAGTTTACTATTTCAACACGGTCGAACACAGAAAAACACCACATAGTAAAAGAATTTTTTTTATTGACATGTAAACAAAGGCTAATAACCGAAACTTAAATTGACAATAAATACATAAGTAAAAAATATTTGTTCTTAACATGCATTCCTGGATTTACTAAAATCAAAAAGTCATACACGGATTGATTTGTATATATACCTTTTAATTTCAAAATGCCTTATTGTTCTTTGATGTTGATGCAAATAATGTTGGGTACCACAAAACATGGACACACATAGAAAACCAGAGCTACTTTCCACTTAAGTTTTGTAATAATCATAATCAGAAAAACTGGACAAAATTTGTTATGTTTTTCTTACATAAAGATTACCTAATTTTCTCTCAATTTTGTCAGGCATGAATGGCAATCCCTGTGATTTGCTAAGTTCTGACAGGTGAAATCTAATTACGGAAAACAAGTCAGAAGAATACATTTTTTCATAACCATATGAGTCAACTAATTAAGATGATATGAAAAGAAAATCTGTATAAGTTACAGGTGGGACAAAAAAAGGTTACAGGTGTTTACATTTTGACAAATTAAGACAAGTATACAGATATAGTTTTAATTGAGATATTAGGTTGAAATCCACTTGTTAAAATTTGAGATACTAAACCAATTACCAAAAACAAATATATAGTACTATTTAAAATATCTAGAAGACTTTATTGCTTATCGCCTGAAGACAAAAAATATAGTTATCACCTGAAAAATATTTACTAGTATGTAATTGAAAAAGTCTTTAAAATATTTAAGATTTATAATTTAAAATTATCACAGTTATGAAGATTTAGAAAATACTAATTTATTAAGCATTGTGAAAATGTTTTCTTGAACCTTTTTCAGCATTGATTTAAGACCATTTCTGACAAGTTTAAGAATTTTACTTTGGTATTTTGAATTGTTAAAATTTTTTTAGCATTCTTAGAAAACAAAAATTAAGGTATTCTTTACAGTGTCTTATTATAATTTTACATAAAAAATCAAGATTTTAGTGTTTATATATATTTAGAATAGAGGAAATAAAAATATTTTAGATTAAAAATTTACTTAAATTAATATTTCCAAATATTGTTCTCATATTTAATAATATTTTAAAGATATTTATTTTACTGCTTTCCTTAAAAATAATATATCTGGTCTAATGTATATCTAGAAATCTAATATAAAATTTTTAAATGATTTTATTACATGTATAGATTAAAAAATTATTTAGTTGATCTAGTGTCCATCTTGAAATCTATTTTTTAAAATTTGTTCATGGTCTTTTTACATTTTTTTGATACACATATATAGATACTAAAATTAATTATATCCACGCGTAAGCATATGCGTGGACCCGTATCTAGTTAATTTAAATCTTAATATTATACTTTGTATTGTTTTCTATTTTTTGTAAAACACAGATTAGTTATAATATATGATGATTTAATATAATTAGCTAAAAATAACTAGTTAGAAGAAACTAACAAACAAAAAACAATAAATACAAAAGATCTGGTATGAATAAAGATGAAATAAATATACAGATATCAAAAGAAAAGGAAATAGTCTCACAAAACATTGACACAATACATGTATGTATACATTTGTATATCTATATAAATAGCTAGAGTTACCCCAAGTCTATAGCTAATTGAAAAGGACAAGAAGCTCTCACATGACCCGAACCACACCATTCATGGGCCCCTTTACTCTTCTCTGATATGTGATCTTCATCTCTATCATCGAAAAAATCTCTCTCAAGCCACTATATTTCTTCACCCTCTTAAAGTCATATTAGAGAGAAAGATAGAGAGAGAGAACCCAATTTAACTCGAAACCATTGATTTCATTTTCATTTATTTATCTTTTGGAGTCAACGAAAAGATCAGAAGAAGAAGCAAACACAAAGAGTATGTCTGTCTTCTTCTTCTGGATTCTAGGGTTTTCTTTTTCACTTTTTTTTTTGGTTATAGCTTTTTTTTTCTTGTTCTTGTTCTTCACTTGATCTTCAATTTACTTTTAATTATTTGATTTGATTATTATTATTTTTCCTTAGTATTTGTGGTAGTGATTTTTATTTGACTTCTAATAAAATTATCTCATGTATGTTGAAGGATTTTGTATTGGGTCATCATCTTGTCAAGAATCACTCATCAGATCCATAAAAATAAAGTTGAATACTTTTTTCAAAGATCTTGAATTGGTCCATCTTCTTGTCAAGAACCCATAAGAAAAAAAAGTTGGATACTTTTGAAAGATCTTGAAATTGGGTCATCAATCTTCTCAAGAACCCATATATAACAAAGCTTGACACTTTTGATGAATATGTCAACGATGAATTCTGATAAAGAACTCGCCGATATCGGAGCTAGCAGTTCCGACAACACCAATTACTTCTACAGCTCGGAGAGAAGAGAGCACATGTTCGACAAAGTGTTGACACCAAGTGACGTCGGTAAACTAAACCGGCTCGTGATTCCAAAGCAACATGCAGAGAACTACTTCCCTTTAGAGGGCAATCAAAACGGCACAGTGTTGGATTTCCAAGACAGAAACGGCAAGATGTGGAGGTTTCGTTACTCGTATTGGAACAGTAGCCAAAGCTACGTGATGACCAAAGGATGGAGCCGTTTCGTCAAAGAGAAGAAACTCTTCGCCGGAGACACCGTCTCTTTCCACCGTGGCTTCATCCCCGACGATAACGCACCACCGGAAAGACGCCGGAAAATAATGTTCATTGATTGGAGGCATAGAGCCGAGATAAACCTCGTACACAACTTTAACCAGCATAACTTCATTTTCGGGTCTCCGACATATCCAACGGCTAGGTTTTATCCGGTCACGCCGGAATATTCCATGCCAAGCCACCGGAGTTTTCCACCGTTTTATCATAACCAATTTCAAGAACGGGAATATTTAGGGTATGGTTATGGTAGAATTGTGAACGGTAATGGAGCGCGTTACTACGCAGGATCACCGTTGGATCATCATCAGTGGAATCTTGGTAGATCTGAGCCGTTGGTTTATGACTCGGTTCCTGTTTTTCCAGCGGGGAGGGTACTTCCATCGGCGCCTCCTCAGCCGTCGACGACGAAGAAGCTGAGGCTGTTTGGGGTTGACGTGGAAGAGTCTACATCTTCAGGGGAGACACGTGGCGAAATGGGAGTTCCAGGGTACTCTTCGTCGTCTCCGGTTGTGATCAGAGACGATGATCAATCGTTTTGGAAGTCGCCACGTGGCGAAATGGGTGCATCGTCTTCTTCGGCTATGCAGCTAAGTGATGATGAAGAATGTAAGAGGAAAGGGAAATCTTTAGAGTTTTGAAGATAGAACAAAATAAGAACTAAGTAGTAATTTATTTACCATTTTCTTTAATTCGGTCTTGTCTCCTTTGAAAAGTTAGTTCCAACTTTCAAATCATTAGGTAACTGGGGAATATGTAGTGGGGAATTAACCGGGCTTATAATAATATCTATATTGGTTTTAAAATGTTTGGTTTTTGAGTTTTTGTTTCAACATGAGCCCTAATTACCATGTTGAATAGAAAACCCCCATCTTTCAATGTTATATTAAGCTTATATTTATACATAAATAATCATCTTCATATAATCTTGAGTTTTTAACTATACTTACTCATATTGAGATGCATAAATACCACCAATCCATAAATTAAAAGTGTCCATCTCTTTATATTTCCTAACTATTATTTGGTTATATACTTCGGATTGGGAAGGAGAAAAAAAGCTTATAAATTTTATGAATTGTACTCTCTGTGCCTATCTCTAGCTAAGCTGACAAAGTTTCATGGTACATTCTAAGCTAATGGGCAGTTTCAAAAGTCTCTCTCTCTCTCTCCCTACCCATGGTCCAATTTTAGTTTGTTTGGTTACTATTGTCTTGGCTTGGTTTAAAGAGATTTGTAGGTTATGGACAGAGAACAAAAAAGAGAAGCTATAGAAGGACAATTTCAGTTTATAATGATAATTTAGAAAAAAGAAATTCGAAAGGTATGATATGTTCTTTCATTTTTTACTTTATCCCAAAAACAATTTTTCTACTATTTTTTTATTCTCATTTACTTCGTTGGTTCCTTGTTTTGTTGATAGCTCATAACCGTTTGTCCGTACATCCGTACGTGACTTGTTTGGATTTTTATTTTTATTGGATGTATCATATTTAAACGAAATTGAAAGAGAAATAGTGTTTGTGATACAAAATCAAAACTGAGAAATGAAAGTAAAGAGAAACAAAAGCCTTGGATCAAGCAAAAGTGAACTATGAACAACTATTAATCATGAGACTGGTCTGCTGGAGGGATGAGACTTAGAAACCGGAGATAAAGAAGCCGGCTAGATAGTTCAGGATTCGTTAAAAACAAAAAATATGTTGGATTTGTTACGAAATTATCAGTGGATAGAACCAAAAATAACGTGCGAAGAAGTTAAAATATAAACATGTAAAAGATATAATCCGAATAACCTAATAAAACGAAGAAAAAAGAAAGAAAGTTTAAAGGCAGGCTTAAGAAAAAAAAGCAAAAAAAAACTGCATTTGAAAATTGAAAATTACTCTTAAAATTGAAAATAAGTTTTTTTTTTTTTGGACGAAAATTAAAAATAACTTAATAAGAGACATATGTTGTTCCATAAAAACGAAAACTAGATATCCAATTATATCAGTGGTGAAAATAGGATAAATTTTTGATTAATTTCATTAATAAAAAGAAAGATAAACCTAATCAGAAAAGATTTAGCTAGAAAAGATCTTTTTTTTTTCCCTCTAGATTAATTATTAAAAAGATCTTAAATCGTGTTTTTTTCCTCTAGACTTAGCTAGAAGAGATCTCAAACCGTGTTTATTTTATTGAAGATAAAGGTGAATATACAAAATCAAATCATAGAAGGATTAGGAATTACAAAACATTATATAAATAGTGATAGGCTACGTTCTCTTCACAATAAAAAAATAACTTGATAAGAGATATACATCTTGTTCCATAAACACGAAAAATAGATATAATTATAGGATAACTTTTTGATTAATTTCATTAATAAGAATAAAGATAAACTTAATCAGAAAAGACTTAGCTAGAAAAGATCTCAAACCGTGTTTTTATATTGAAGATAAGAGGTGAATATACAAAATAAAATCATAGAAGGATTAGGACTTACAAAACATTATATAAGGCTACGTTCTCTTCACAACTCATCATTCATCAACACAACACAATTACTATCTCTCTGTTTTGCTAGTTCGTGATCTCACCACAATTTTTCTTCTTCGCTTCTCAATTTTTTCCTCTAACCATGGCCAAAACAATCTTCGGCTTCGTGTTGCTCGTGATAACAACCTTCACGGTTCTGTTGGGTTGTTGTTCGGCAAAGGTCCACAAAGTGGGAGGCTCCGATGGATGGACCGCTAAGGAAGACGACACCTGGACCGACCGTCCCGAGTACCACGTGGGAGATTCCCTGATCTTTGAATATGATCGTAACTTGAGCGATGTTACTCAAGTTTCCGGCGGTTTGGAGTACGAATTCTGCGACTCTTCTTTCCCTAAAGCCGTCTACAACACAGGCCACGATGTTGTAACTTTGAAGGAACCAGGGTCTTACTACTTCATCACCTCAAACCATACTCAATGTACATCGGGACAGAAGTTGGACGTTCTTGTTACCCATGACCCGTCGAGTCCGATTCCTCCACCATCACCGAGCAAGACTCTTCCGTCTGGAAATATCTACAAGGTAGGCGACTCCAAAAGATGGAGCGTTTACGACACTGAGTTCTATTACCAGTGGAGTAAAGAGAAACAGTTCCATGTTGGAGACAGTCTCCTTTTCGAATACAACAACAAAGTCAATGATGTCTTCGAGATCAGCGGCGACCTTGAATTCCTATACTGCGACCCGATTTCTCCCGTAGCCGTGCACAAGACAGGCCACGATCTCGTCAAGCTCACCGAACCAGGAATCCATTATTTCATTAGCTCAGAACCAGGTCACTGTGAGGCTGGACTTAAGCTCCAAGTTGTGGTTGGACCAACACCCAATGTTCCAAAGTTGTCACCTTTAGAACGTCTCACAAGGTGGTTAGACTCTTTCACGTTCAATCATCACTAAGCGTCTGTATCAAGTAGTTAAGCATACATATGCTACTTTCGTTTCCCTTTTAATATGAGATTAACTAATTATGGTTTCTCTAATCAATTACTAGTTAAACATCGCTCTTCTGACGAAAAAAAAAAAAAAATCGCTCTTCTTTCTCTTGCTTCGTTTCTTTGGTTTTTATTTTTCATTGATGTAAAAACTGTCGAGTTTAATAAATATTTTTTATATTGAAGTAGATTGGTGAGAATATTTATGTTTGACTTTTAGTAAAAACTATAAAAAAAAAAAAAACAAAGTTGAAACCTAATAGACTAAACTAATGTAATAGCATCAAATTTACGAATTCCTAAGTACAATTTAAAAATTCACATTGACTTGGATTAAAATTCGCAACATATTATATAATCTGAGTGTAATTTCTTGTATTAATTAATAACAATAGGCTTAGTACTGCCGTCTGAAAACTAAATTGGGCTTCAGCCCAAAAAAAGCATAAAAGGCCCATTATAGCCCAAGTTAAAACCCGAATGAAGGATCCGGTCGGGAAGAAGGAGAAAGACAGAGAGAGATGGCGAGAGAGAAGAAGACGTGTGTAGAGTGTGGGCATAAGGTTAAGTCCTTGTTCATTCAATACTCTCCTGGCAATTTTCGTCTCATGAAATGCGTAAGCTTTTGGTACCAAAACTAATTAGCGTTCTTAATCTCTCTACTTGTAATTTTCCCTAAGTTTTCACCTTTTTTTTGATGTTAAATTTTGGTAGGAGAATTGCGAGGAAGTAGCAGACGAATACGTCGAGTGTGAGCTATTGGTCTATATCCCAATCTTCAAGTTTCAATTTTTATGCTTTTGTGTTCATCAAGTTTTGATTTTTTTGTGTGTTTTGATGATAATCAGATTATTTTCATCGACTTGATTCTTCACAAAACTAAGGCTTATAGACACTTACTCTTCAATGTGTTTAATCAAGAATCTGTTAATATTCAGGTACAGTTTTAAATTATGTCTGATCTCTGTTTAAACATATACTGTATGAATCTTAAGAGGATTTTAAACAATTTGGCAGCATCTGTTGTGGAAATTGGTCTTAGCTTATCTTCTTCTAGATACTTGTATCCTTTTAGAGTTTTATATGTATATATACTCTATACAACTCTCATTTTGGAGAAGCTTTAACAATTTCAAAAGATAGAAGCTTGCTACTGCGAAGAACCAATGACGAATCAAATGTGTCGATGAGCTTTGTTCTTGAATCTCTAGAGGTTGGTTCTCTTTCCTTCCTTTGAGCATTGCAGATAAATGTGATTATGAGAATGTTAGTAAATGAACTTAAAATTATAAGCATTTTAACAGGTTCTGGTCAATGTACTATCTGCGAATTTCGCATTTGTTTTATCGTTTGCACTTGCGGCTAAGATGATGCTGGTTATGTCAAGGTATATATATAGGGTTTTCTCTATTATGAAGTTCGCCAAAGTCAATTCTTTATGTTCCCTGAGTGTAAGTTAGAATATGATTTGCAGAGGAAAAGAGATTCTTTTGGGGGTATTAATCTCGAGTTACGTCAAGATCTTTCTATTTGCTATGCCGGTATGTTTCATAAGACTTTCTCAGAATCTTGTCTATAATATCATAACCAATCCACATAGCTTCTTCTTGCTTCCATGCTAAGCTCTTAAACCGATGATGATACCGAAGAAGATATAGGTCTGTAAATGCTAAAATGTGGTATGTATGTAATTTTGGTTACAGGTCTGGGAATTCCCTGTTTCTGTGATCTTCATCGTAGATATGCTCGTTTTAACATCAAACGCAGTTGCTCTTAAAGGTCAGAATCTTTGACTCCGTGTTGCGTTGTGCATAGATTTATCGACCTGACATGTTTGTTTTGTTTATTTCATCATGATTTTACTAGTGATGACTGAATCAGCAACGAGCAGATGCTTAGCAGTGTGTTTCATTGCACACTCAATTAGATTCTTGGTGGATCAGATCTCTGGGCCAATGTCCTTGAAACACTTAGGATATGTCATGTAATCTACCTTCTTTTGTAAGGAACTTGTGATCTCATAAATTTGTTAGGGTCTTTAAACTCTTTTGTCTAAATCACCTATGACAATATGTTTAGAAAAATAAATTACTTTTGTTTAATCCAACTCCTTTTGGGTGATTCAGCAACTCTCTTACATAAAAATGAGATTACAGACCCCTAAAATGCATTAACTTTTGGCACAAGTAATATGATCAGAGAAGTAAACAAGAAAAATAAAGAAGTCGAATTTAGAATAAATCATCAAGAGTGATATAAGCAATGGAAGAAATAATAAATGTAATATGTATTTCAAATAGTATTAAGAATAAATATATAATACTTGAATAATTCAAAAGATTGATAACAAAAGAAAATGAATTAAATAATTTTTACTTGAGAGTCTTGAGTGGGTTTACGATTTATTGTTCCAATGTTTAGATTGGACTTGGGAGCAGGAAAATATGAACGTTGTGAAACGGTAACATTTTTTTGACCGTTTGAATTAATATTTTTAATGAAAAAAATTAAGATAATGGACTCTATAAGTACTACCACTCCTATCTGCGGTCACAAATCTGAATCCTCCCTCTTACAAACGTCAATAACGCTCTCTGTTCTATCCTCTTATTATTTCTGTTCTTCCACTTGAGTTCTCATTCCGACAACAGAAACAAACATAGAAGCATCACCTTAGAGGTAAACTACTCTTGATCTAGTTCCTCTAGTTTGTTTACCATTAAAAGATTCTTGTTAGTCTCTGCTAATTACCCTGTTCGTCATCTTTCTAACATGTGGGGTAGTGTAGATGAAAATCTTTTATCGAGTTAAACAAAGATTCTTGTTAGCCTCTGCTAATTACTCTGCTCTGTTTTTAATCCATTTTATAGATCTTGCTGTCTTAAATCTAATGAACTGATTTTTAGCTATACATGTGTTAGTAACTTTTAAAAAAAAATGTGTTAAGAAACTGATTTTCAGTTATATATGCGAGTCTTTAAATTATATATCATGCTGTCTTAACTTCAATTATGTGAGAATAATTTAAGTAGATAAGTTCTATCTAAGAAAACATAGAAGGTTTTTTTTAAAAGAAAATCGTTAGAAACTGAGGAAGAATTGGTTTAGTCCAAATGATTTATTCATATTTGGATTTTTAAGTAACGTAATTATAATAATGTATGTATAAAAACTGTTGACAAGGTGGAAAAAAGATTGTAATGACCAATGATGATTGATTTTAACTAAATTTTGCAGAGCATACAAAGCCTAGGGACTGTCTCCGGAGTTCCATCTTCTACTTGGCCTACCTTTGAAGTTAACCAGATTGTGTATGTATGTAATTTTTTTTTTTTTTTTGATGAAAGATGGATATGTATAGAGTATATAGGGTGTAGATGAAAATCGGTGACGTGTGTGTAGGGTGTGAGAGTGTGTGTGTGTATGCGTAGATGTATGTATAGGGTGTGAGAGAGACGGAGCGTAGAGAACGAAGCAAACGAAAACACACACACGAAAACACACACACGAAAACACAAAAATGACTTACGAACCTAATCGCCAAAGCCCAAACGATCGTTAGACCCACAAAATTGACTAACGCCAACTTAATCTTGAAGACCACGATCGCTAGATGAAACACATAAATTTGGCTAACGCTAACTTAATCGCCGAAGACCAAACGATCGCTTGACGAAGCACAACGGTTACCTAGCAACATACAAAATTGACTCACACAAAAATTTAGACAAACCCTCATCACCGGAAATGATATATACACACAAAAATGACTAAGCCATAAACCGCTAGACGAAACACACCAGAACGAATGAACATATTAAATTTTTTTTTGACACACAAAAATGACAACTATAAAAGAAAAATAATAGTTAGAAAAAGCCAAAAATCTATTCATCAGCACTGATCTCATAAAAAATAAAAAATTTAGTCTAATCCTGATCATAAAAAATCCTGATCATAAAAAGATAAAGGAAAAAAAAATCACTATCAAAAAATATCATCGAGGAACATTTTAAACTTATCCACTTGACATTTGAATCTCTCCCAAAAATCTTAAATTCTTTGTTTTTCGTCTTAGCTTCGATATTTTTTTGGGTTTTATTCGTCTACTTTTTCTTAGCCTTGCGACTTGGTTTGCCCGAACCGAACCAAGCTGGTTATTTCGGTTTTCGGTTTTCGGTTATTTAAGACTTTGAAAATTCTACCGGTTATTTAAAACTTTGGTTCGGATATCGATTAATTCAGTTTTTGGTTTTATTAAGATAATAACTTATCAGCTCCTCATCGGTCGGCTCTGTTTTGGTTTTTTTAGGGGGAAGTGAAACAGAGAGAGGATTTAAATTGTCGAATAAAAAAAAACTTAATTTAAATTGAAAGGCTAAGAAGGATCATTCTTTTTAATGTTATGTCTTATTTCTTACGCTACTACACAACGTAATGGTACAAATTAAACACCGTGTGGGCTCCACTGGCTTTGTGACTCATTTAATTACTTGATGTAGACGGTAATTAAAACCGTGTGTCTCTATATTCTTTTAATCTTTTTTTTTTTTGTCTAAACCATCGTATATTTTTTTTTTCGTCTTCTAAACCATCGTATAAAAATATGAACCGATACAATATTAGAGCATACTAAGTGGGGCATTTTTGAGTGTATATTTAAGTCAATTTAATAATATAATAACAGTGGGGTAGAGATGTCTGTGTAGAAAATCAAAAGAGAGAGAGGAAAAAAAAATGTGGGAGAAGAAAAAGAGGATTTCGGCGACTCACAGCACGCCACGTCATCTTACACTCGACGAGAAGGAAGTTGTTACTTCACACCCGGGTGTTGTCTCTCTCCTTACTATTTGATTACTTTTGTTTTTTTAATCCTCACACCCCAGTAGAAAATATGCCGCTGCGTATGGTCTTAGTCTAACTGAGTAGAAATATGTGGTTCGAGTTATGTGATAATATACAAAAAATTTTTTTTGATAATGATAGTATACATTGAGTAACATCTTCTTGTGATGTTTAAACAAGGAATATACTGCGATATTTGTTTGAATTCCTCGAACTTATTTAAATTCCATTTTATTTGAGAGGATTAGTTTATTTTGTGTACATTGTATCCATTTTAAAACTTTTTTTAGTGGAAAACTTTTACCCAAAAGATTTTTTTTTTGTTATAATCCTTAGAATTAGTTAAAATTATAGGCTGGTATGTGAGTGGTGCCAGTCATACCCAATACCCAAAATGTAGAACCTAAAAGCAAAGAATTTTTCTAGCTAAATTTTTAACTCTAAAAGGTATTACTAGTCATACTCATAATGTTTTAGAAAGACAGGAGGTTGATTATTTTTATAAATGGGTTAAAAATTTGGTGGATCAAATCTATTAGCCAATGTCTTAGGATCTGTCATGTATCTACCAATACATGAACTTGTTATCTCATAATCTGTTTTTAGGATCTTTAGACTCTTTTGTCTAACATATATGTTCATAAAGATAAATGTAGGATCTTGAGACGAGGCACTCTTCTTTAATCCAACTCCTTTTGGGTAATTCAACAGCTCTCTTGCAGTGAAAATGAGATAACAAGCCATAAAATGCATTAACTTAAGACACAAGCAACATATATTTCCAATTTGAAGAGAAACAGACACAGTAAAGTCCTATAACCAAATCTGTAAGCTATAAAGGTTGAGAACAATTGAGTCTCATCTCTAGTTAATACACACTGACACACATATATATTCAGAAGAATTTTAAGTTTAGAGAGAGTGACTAGTTAGGAATTGATGCTTCGTTAAACTCATATGATGTTGTTAATGAGAGCCAGCAAGAGGATGAAGCCTATGATCATTTTAATGAGATAGATATACGGTGGATTCTCGCGTCTTCTCTCAATTGCTTCCTCTGTAATTAACAAGCCCTTCTTCTCTGTCTTCACCATGCCTTGTCTGACCTGAAAAGGAAACAACATCAATATATGTTTGAGATTAATATAAGATACAAGCACCCACAAAATCAACATCGGAGCAGCTCAAGACCTCTTGTTTTGATGTAATGGTGCACTGTGCGAGTTGAGATTCCTGGGTCTTTATATTGATGAAAGGTGCATAAGAAGTTTGTAGATCTTTTCTCAGAATCTCATCTCCGCAAGTCTTGAGAAAGTGCCTATTTGAGCTACCAACACTATCACCTGGACTTGATGTTCCCTTGTAACTCTGTCACATTAGAATGAAAACCTGAGTATACACAATTACTCCATGAAAGTCATCAGGAAAATGAGTGATGTGCTTTACCGTTGCAGATATCGATTCAGCATCTCTATCACTATCACTGCTATAATCAGCAATGATCCCTGACAAAGATTTCTTTGGCCTGTAATCGTTGCGGTTCTCTTGCATTATGAATTCTTGATCAGAAAACACATCTTCAAAGTTCCCTCCGTTATAATCCAGCAATCCACTCCAATATTCATCATTGTTAGGCGTTTGCAGCTGCATGTTAGGGTGGTTGTAGTCGCTGAACAAAGTCTCTGGATCAAATGCATCTTGCGGAAAGAGATCCTCTTGTTCGTATATTGGAACACTCAAATCATTCATAGACAAACCATATACATTTTCTTGACCTGGCTGCTCTAACTAAAAATGTAAAAGAGAGTGTGAGTAAAAAGAATCAAGTACTTGAGATTAATGAATAAAGAAACATCTCAGAAACTGGACTCACCTCAGGAGCTGTGTCAATGTACTTCTCTTGCATTTCTTGATCGGAAAGCAAATGTTGAGCTGTCCCTCGGTAAGTAGGCGGCAATCCACACAGAAACTCATCATCTTCTTGGGGTAAGTAAGGAGTTAAAAGCTGCATATTCAGGTTGTCGTTGTTGTTGTTGTTTTCGCTGAACGACATGGCTGGATCCCCCTGTTCATTCATTGGTAATATCAAATCATTCTCAGACAAACCATACAAGTTTTCATGACCTGGCTGCTCAACCTGAAAATGTAAAGAGGCAACGAGTAACTAAACCGCTCGATACTAATGAGCACCAAAACATTTCAGAAACAGGACTCACCTCTGGTGGTATGCTAGTAGTCACTCCGATAGTATTCATATCAGAAACCAAAGATTGACTCGGATCACTTGAGCTATTACCATTTGAAATGTCTGCCTTCTTCTTACTATTGTTATCAAATATTTTGTAGAGAACATAGGAATCCTGAAATATATCAAAACCTCACAAATTCATATTTTCAATTACACACACACAAACTTTGGCACTAAAAAGTCAATATTTTTCTATAACTCTAAAAAAAAAACTACACAAAAAATGGATACTCTTTTAACACTGAAAAATCTCAACATGACAATCATTCCAAAACAACCCCAAAATCATTTGAACAAGAGAGAAACTTATGTAAGAAAAAAGAAAGTACCAGATTAGGATGAGGCAAGGAAGTGATCTGATACTCATGAATAACCCAAGAACTCTTCTCCCCTTTGGCTTTAGGAGCATCAAGGTCATCGAACAAAATACCTCGTTTTTTCCCAATCTTGTTTCCACTCTCATCTTTAATTTTCGTAACTAGACCACCAACTTTCCATTTCCAAGATTTGATACTTCTCTTCCTCTTCTTCGCGGTCTTGTACTGTTTCCGAGCAAAGAAGTAGTATACACGATCGTTCGATTTGATCTTCGATAACGCTACAGAAAAAAAACCCACAAAAAAAAATCAAAACAAACAACAAAATCAAAACTTTTTTTAAACGATCGATGAAATCAAAGTGAAGAAAGTAGTGAGTTACATGAAAAAGAAGAGGGATGGTGATTTAGTATGTTGATCTCGTTGATAGTGTCGTCGACGAGCCATGTGTTTCCCAAAATCTTGTTCTTCAGATAATAACTTATCAGCTCCTCATCAGTCGGTCGAAATCCAAATCCTGGTTTTTGCTCCATCTTCACTCTAAAATCAAGAAGATGAAGTTTTTTTCTCAAAGGTTTCTGATTTTTCTTGTTTTTTTTTTTTTTCTCAAAGGCTCTGTTTTTTTTTCTTAGGGGGGAAGAGAAGAAACAGAGAAGGGTATTTAAATTGTCGAATAAACTTAATTTTTACTTTTTAAGGCTTATGTTTTACGCATTCTTACAGATAAAAATGGTAATTTCTCACTAAAATAAATTAAAAGTCTTGTGGATCCCACTTGTCGGCACATGAACTGATGAAATATGTGGTTTGAGTTAAATGATATTTATACATTGAGTTATACTATAAGTAAATTCTTCAAAAAGTTTGCACAATGAATAAATTGCGATTTTTGCTTCAATTTCTCTAACTTATATTTAAAGTCCCATTTGATTGAGACTCTATTACTTCACTTTCTTTTGTTCATTTGTATTCTTTCAGTGAAATTTGTTTTGCCAAAAAAAACGAGTCTAAAACTTCTTTTTAAAAAAAAAAAAATTTCTTTCTTTCTTTTTTTTAGCTAAAATGAGTTAAAAAAATTTATTTGCTGCTTTTGATTTGATTGGTCAAAAAATGAAAGAACCTAAAAGTAAAGTATTTTTCTATCTAAAAATATTTTACTCTAAAGTAATTATCAGTCATACCCATAATGTTTTGCCTACCAAAAAAAAAATAATGTTTTAGAGACACGAGGTTGATTATTTAATAAACGGGTTTTATCACTTGTGTTTTTGATAATTAAACTAAACTTCTTAAACACCATATGATCTAGTATCTTTATATAGAGATAGTATATACTAAATACAGATACATCTCTCACATTTCAAACTTTTATAATGCTAACTTTTTAACTTTGTAGACGCATTAAGATAACTCAAACTCCACACGCATAAGTAACAATTATCCAATGATCAAAAGGTTAATTAATTATAAGAAAACAATAATTATATAACTTTTTCGATCTCTTTTTGTCCCTAATTAGATACGTGTGGCAAGTTCATAAAAGTTGTTGGAAACTTCCTACTCAAGTTGTAGCTTTCTGTCAACATAATCCCTCTAGTTACGACGTAGACAGGAAAACGGATTTTACAACACAATTATTAAATTGTTAGAGAAATTTAAAAATTATTTGAAATGCAGAGGAAAAAACATAGTTAAAAACTAAAACCAATTATCTACATACCAAAATGTTTAACCAAATGGCTCCAATCATCGACTCTTGACCAACATAAAGCTATATAACCTATGATCATGTTTTTTTGTTTCTGTTTTAGTATTAACCTATAATAATGTTCATAAAGATTGTATAGAACTTTAAGATTCTACCTGTCTAATCCACCTATGATCATATGTTCCATAAAGATAATTATGAAGGATCTTAATACACTCTTGCCTGATCTTTCTCTGTTTCAGAAATGAGATTACAAACCCTACTATACTACATTTGACTTTAGGCACAAGAAATACCTGTAAGATATACAGATTGAGAACAATCAAGTTTTGCATCTTTTTGACACACACACACATCTATCTATTATTCAAACATTCAGAAGAAAGCAGGATTAGAAAAAGCCATTGCTTTGATCTGCTCTGGCGATCAAAACTTCTTCAGCGGGTTCAAGCTTTGACGGGTAGTAAAACCGATACGACGAATGAAGCCTATGATCATGAGATAGATAAACCGTGGTGTCTTGCGGTTTCTCTCCATTGCGTCCTCTAGAATAAACAAGCACTTCTCCTCTGTTTTCACCAAAGATGACTCATTGTTTATGGATGCATCAACAGCTCTTGGAGTCTCTTGTTTCACCTGAAAAGGAGATCACATAATCATCATCGTTGCAATTCCAACATATGTTTGAGATTATAAGATACAAACAAGTAATAATCAATATAAGAGCAACTCAAGACCTCTTGTTTTGATTGTACAGTGCGTTGTGTGAGTTGATATTCCCGGGTCTCTCGACCGATTGAAGGATCTGCACAAGTTTGTAGATCTTTGCAAGAGTCTGTGCTTGAGCAACTTGACAAGCGTCTGCTTGAACTACCAACACTATTATTTGGACTTGATATTCCTTGGTAACTCTGTCAGGTTAGAATGGATAGTTGAGAATACAGAATACTCCATGGAAGTAATGATAAAGAAAATAAGTGATGTGTGTTACCGTTGTAGATATCGATCCAGCATCACTGCTACTATCGCTGCTATAATCAATGGTCCCTGTCAAAGGTTTCTTTGGCATGTGATCGTTGCGGTTCTCTTGCATTATTAATTCTTGATCGGGATGCACGCCTTCAAAATTCCCTCCGTTATAACCTGCATTCCGATAATCATCTCCGTAACGCGTTAGCTGATGCACGTTAAGGTTGTAGTTATTGTTGTTGTCGCTGAAAAACGTGTCTGCATCAAATCCATCCCACTCAGAGAGATCCTCTTCTTGGACAATCATTGGGATTCTCAAGTCATTCATAGACAAACCATCAATGTTTTCTTCATTGGCGAACAAATATTCGACTGGTCCTCGATCAACATGCTTCAATCCACGGATAAACTCATCATCATTCAAGGCTAAGTGAGGACCTTGTGGCTGCAAGTAAGTGTTTGGATCCTCTTGTTCCAAATCATCTAAAGACATACCCAATAAATTTTCTCTACCTGGCTGCTCAACCTGAAGCTGTAAAAAGAGACAACAACAACAAGTAAAGACACAAGTCGATAGTAATGAAACATCTCAAAAACTGGACTCACCTCAGGCTCAGCCGCTCTGTTAATCGCTCTGGTAGTATTCGAATCGGAGTCCAAAGAGCGACTTGGCTCATATGAAATGTCTGCAGCTTCACCCTTATACTTTACTTGGCAGATAACATATTTCCTCTGCACAAATTCCAAAGGTACACACATCAATCACAAACACTATTGACAACAAATTGAGACTCTTTAAATCATACTAACACAGAACCTCAAATTGAACTAGATGTTCTCTAAACAAATTCCAGAGGTTCACACACATAAGTTCTTTGCCAGCCAAACAACAAAAACAGAACACACATCAATCAAACAACTCAATCACAAGCTTGGACAACAAAGTTAGAATCTTTACACCAACAAAGACCTCAAATACTAGATCACAGGGGAAATAACAGCTAACGATTAGATCTGAAAGAGTTGTTTTACCTTATCATGAGGCAAGCAAGTGATGTGATACTCGTGCATAGCCCAAGGAGTTCTAACTCCATTAGGACCCTTACCTTCATGGTACACAAGCGTCTTCTTAAAACCGATCACAACACCATTTCCTCTTTTATCTTTGATTTTCCGATCAACACCAGTAGGTTTCCAAAACCCAGTACCTGTAGTCCTCTTCATTTCATTCTTCTTCCGGTTCGTGTACTCAATCGGAGAGAAGAAGTACCATTCAAGATCTTCCGATTGGATCTTAGCTAACTCTGCAACAGCAACAAGAAAGAACCCAAATTTAGAAATAATTGATGATGATACAAAGATAGAGACAGAGAGAGAGGTCAATGATCATAAACTTACTAGGCAAATCCTTGCTGGGTTTGTGGCTCAAGATGTTGATCTCGCTAATGGCTTCATCAACGAGCCAAGTTTTTGTACCCAGATTTTTGTTCTTCAGGTAATGGTTAATCAATTCCTCTCCCGTCGGACTAAATCTATACCCAATCAGATTTTTCACCATTTTTTTGATACAGAAACTGATCGAAAAAACAAAACTTTCTGAATCGTGACTAAAAATTTTCTAGGGTTTGAGTGAATTTTTTTTTTGTTTCTCTCTCTCTCTCTCTCTTTTTCTTTCTTTTTCAAATACAATCAGTAGTAAGTGATTGGTGAAGAGATAGCGAGTGATGGTGGTATTTATAGTTTTTTTTTTCAAAATTTTGTCAATAATATAACTGTAACATTTTTAAAAAATAAAAAATAAAAATAATTTTTAGTAATTTCTCAGTAAGTAAAGAAAAATGAGACGTGGCAAGTTCTTAATGGGTAGGAAGCCCATGAAGGTGATGAAGCTGTATGTTTCGTCTACTCGCGGCGAAACCGTGTTGCGTTTATTTCTTATGTTTTTTTTATTAATTTGTGAAAATTGTGATTTTTTTTTTAATTTTACATTTTTTTTTCTAATTTGTGAAATTGTGTTTAATGTTGTCACTATCAGCGTAATTTTCTCACATTTTTATGTGAATTAACTCCAAATTTACAATGATCAGATTTTAATTAGTCTAATACTAACTTGTATTGGGAGAAATGTAAAATTATGTATGTACTGTTAACAATAAGATAAGATTTACATTGAATGGAAAATGTTTTCCAATAATTTAGCTCTAAAGGTTGACAAATTATAGGAACAGAATATATTTTGCTGATTGAGAATGAAGACGTGGCAAGTTATTGACGGTTCATTGCCGGAGCTTCGAACGTAAGTATGGAGCTCTTGTTTATTTGGGTCGAAGGATCTTTCGGAAATCATAGCCGCCACACCATTGACGACGACATGACGTTATTACATTCTGTTACTGCAATATTGTACTACTAATTTTGTCTATTTTCTATAACATGGTTCTATTATTTATTATTAGGCATTTTAATCAAAATCATAAACATTTCCTCTTCTCTTTTTTTTTTTTGGTAAATTGAAAAACATAACAGTTCTTATAACTAGATAAGGATTTGATTTAACAAATTCTTATATATGAATTTGACTTGCAAGGAAGGGACATTGAAATTACCAAAACAAGAGAAAGGTTCATATTATAATATATAGATCAATCATATGCAAATGTATACTTATAGACTAGTTTCAAAGATTTGATTGATTGATAATCAAAATCTCACTGTTATGATCAAACACATAGACCTGTCCATGTCCGGTATTTGTGATCATTCTCTTAATTATCAATAAACCAAATCTTTGAGAAACATTTCAAACCCAATCCACTTGTCTCTGTCAAATAGTGAATGTTACAATTTTCAAAACCCTAAATTGCATTTAACTTTAGACACAAGACATACCTCTTGTTCATACATACATACATCAAAATTTCAGAAGAAAACAGAATTAAATAAAAGCAAGTTAAAAACGAGTGCTTTGATCAATCTGCTTTGTCTATCTCTCGTGATCAAACTTCATCAGCGGGTTCAAGTTTTGACGGTTAGTAAAACCGATATGATGTTGCCAATGAGAGCCACCAAGAGTATGATGCCTATGATCATCCTCATGAGATAGATATACCGTGGATTCTTGCGGTTTCTCTCCATTGCTTCCTCTGTAATAAACCAGCTCTTCTTCTCTGTCTTCACCATTGAGTTTATCCGTGGATCAACATGCCTCAATCCACGGATAAACTCATCATCATTCAAGGCTAAGTGAGGAGGACCTTGTGGCTGCAAGTAAGTGTTTGGATCCTCTTGTTCCAAATCATCTACAGACATACCCAAGAAATTTTCTCTACCAGCTGGCTGCTCAACCTGAAGCTGTAAAAAGAAACAACAACAAGTAAAGACACAGGTCGATAGTAATGAAACATCTCAGAAACTGGACTCACCTCAGGCTCAGCCGCTCTGTTAATCGCTCTGGTAGTATTCGAATCGGAATCAAAAGGGTGACTTGGCTCATATGAAATGTCTGCAGCTTCACCCTTATACTTTTTACTTGGCAGATAACATATTTCCTCTGAACAAATTCCAAAAGGTACACTCATAAGTTCTTGTTTTCACTTAGACCAAACAGAGAGAGAAGTGGAGAGATAGAGGGGGAACGAACTTGCAACTTGTAGAAGAGAAATAAGAAGGTCTGAACCAGCGTAAGAAAGAGCGATAGTGAACCTCTGAGTAAAACAGAGGAAGAACTTGAGAAATGTAATAATTATATATGTAACACAACTGAAATAAAATTTTGATTTCTTTTTCGTTTACATATCACATATATACCGCGTAACGAGTTAGGAAAAAAACGAATTAGTAGACAAAAAATGAGAGACTAAATTTGCACTACTAAGTTTATATATTCATTTTCTTATACAACATTAATAAATTATAATATAAAACGAATTAGTATATACCATTATACCAATACATGAACTTGTGATCTCATAATCTGTTTTTAGGATCTTTAGACTCTTTTGTCTAATATATTCATAAAGATAAATCTAGGAAACTGAGACGAGGCACATTTCTTTAATCCAACTCCTTTTGGGTGATTTAGCAGCTCTCTTGCAGTGAAAATGAGATAACAAGCCTTAAAATGCATTAACTTTAGGCACAAGCAACATATATTCCCAATCTGAAGAGAAACAGACACAATAAACTCTAAAGGTTGAGAACAATTGCGTTTCATCTATATATATATATATATAAGGATGTCGCCAACAAGAAGATGAATCCTAGTATCATGTTCATGAGATAGATATACGGTGAATTGTTTTTTCAAATGTTCAAAAAATCGTTAGGTGCTAAGCGGGCGGTGACCCGGTGCCTATCTTTTATAATGCCTAATCGGGGTATGTTGATTCTAAGTTAATGAGAAAGCCACTTTGTTTCGTCTCCCTCTTAAGGAAAGAAAGCGAGTGATGTTGCTTTACAGTTGCAGATATCGATCCAGCATCGTTGCCACTATCGCTGTTATAATCGTCAATGATCCCTGACAAAGGTTTCTTTGGCTTGAAATCGTTGCGGTTCTCTTGCATTATGAGTTCTTGATTAGAAAACACATGTTTGAAATCCCCTCCGTTAATCAGCAATAATTCCCTCCAAAAATCATCAGGCTGAAAATGTAAAAGAGAGAGTGAGTAAAAGAATCAAGTACTTGAGATTAATAAATAAAGAAACATGTCAGAAACTAGACACACCTCAGTTGGAAGTTTGACAGAATCGTTTGACAGGAAATTCTCCTGCATTTCTTGATCGGAAAGCAAATGTTGAGCTACTCCTCGGTAAGGAAGTGACAATCCACACAGAAACTCATTATCTTCTTGGGATAAGTCAGGAGTTTGTAGCTGCACATTAGGGTTCTTGTTGTTGTTTTGGCCGAACGTCATGTTTGGATCAGATCCATCACATGGAAAGCGGTCCACCTGTTCCTTCATAGGTAATATCAAATCATTCTCAACTTGAACATCTAAAAAGTTGTGAATATGGAAACAGGTCGATACTAATCAGTAATGATACATTTCCAGAAACAGGGCTCACCTCTGGTGGTATGCTAGTCGCTCTGACAGTATTCGAATCCGAGACCGGAGATTGACTTGCCACGCCCGAGTTAGTACCATTTGAAAGGTCTGTCTCTTTACTACCCTTATCAAATATTTTGCAGATAATATAGGAATCCTGAACACTTTCAAAAGCACACATAAGTTTATATTTTCAGTAACATACACATTAAGCCACAATGGTTTTCTTTAAAAGTATATTTTTCTATAACTCTCAAAACTGGTACATTTTGCATCTAACAGTGAAAAATATATATCAAAATGACTACATCCCAAAACAACCCAGAAGCATCAAACCCAAAATCATTTTGAACAACAGAGAAACTTATGTAATAAAAAAAAAAGAGAATGCAAGTACCGGATTATGATGAGGCAAAGAAGAGATCTGATACTCATGCATAACCCAACGACTCTTACCCCCCTTGGTTTTAGGAGCCTCATGGTCTTCGAACAGAAGACCCTGTCTTTCTCCAATCTTGTTTCCTCTCTTATCTTTGATATCCGTAACCGGGCCACTAACTTTCCATTTCCAAGATTTGGTACTTCTCTTCCTAATTTTTTTGTCGCGTTCATGTACTGCTTTCGGACAAAGAAATAGTATACACTATCGTTCGATTTGATCCTCGATAATGCTGCAGAAAAACACCCAAAAAAATAAATAAAATTATAAACAACAAAATCAGAAATCAATCTATGTATGAAACTGAAGTGAGTTACTTGACAGAGATGCTGGATGGTGATTTAGTATGTTGATCTCGCTGATAGTGTCGTCCACGAGCCATGCCATACCCTTAGCCTTGTTCTTCAGATAATAATTTAACAGCTCCTCGTCCGTTGGTCGAAATCCAAATCCTGGTTTTTGCTTCATCTTCAAAGATTCAAGACGATGAAGTTTTTTTTCTTTCCCTGTTTTGGATTTTGAAGGGGCAAGAGAAAAAACATTGAGAGGTGTTTAAATAAATAGTCAAATAAAAAAACAATATAAATTTTTTTCATTTTAATTGAAGACTTATGCTTAAATTTCTTAAGCTACTCAACACAAATAAGATGGGAATTTTCTCAGTAACTATATATTAACACCGCCGTGTGGACCCCCCTGGCTTGGTGGGTCATTAAACCACGTGATGGCAACGTATATGAACACTAGACAGAGTTGAAATTTGTTGTTAGAGTTAAACCCATGATAATCTACATAAAACTTCTTTTTTTGAATAATTTACATTGGGTTACATTTTCTTGAAAAATGTTTAGACAAGGAATATGCGGCGACTTTTGTTTGAATTCCACTTGATTAACACGATTAGTTCACTTTTTCTTGTTTCCATGATTCAGTTATATATATGAAGTCTACAATTTCTTGTCATTTTAGTAACATTTTAGAGAAATAGACGGAGTAAATGTTTCTCCAACCTTAGTACAATTTGTTGTCATTTTGGTAACATTTTTTAAAGTTTGGACTAATGCTGGAATGGGTTTAACATTTACAAAGTTTGGACTAATGCTGAATCTTGTGAAATGGCTAAATATTTACTTTTGTGTGTTTCGATGATTAAACTTTCTAAAGACATCAAAACTTTTATAATGTTAACTTTTAAGACACATCCAGATGACTAACTCCACTCTCCACATGGATAAGTAATAATTATCCAATTTAAAAAGAAAAAAAAAATCTTATCCAATACTCCGAAGGGTAATTAGTTACACGAAAACTATAATTATATAACTTTTTCGATCCATTTTGTTCCGAATAGGATACGTAGCAAGTTATTGTGAAATTCCATCTCAAGTTGCGGCTTTCTACGACGTCTACTTGAAACGGTTTTTTACTCTGCAGTAATCCGACGTAAATTTTTTTTTTTTTTTTTTTTTTGAAACGGAGAGGAAAAAAATAGAGTTATTTAATGGTATCTAGAAATTTAATAATGGTTAACAAATTGCAATGATCAGATATCTATCAGTCTAATATAAATTGTCTTGGAAAATGTAATTTTGTGTATTAACTAAATTATGGGTTTGATCGGTAATGTTGTATGATCGCAAAATAATACAGTATAAAACAAAATTAAGCTATAAAATAAAATATTTCTCCAGATTTAAATAGTTGTAGAATTGAATAAACTACTAAATACCCATTTCATTTTTTGTTTAACATTAGGTAAAGTACATACAAAATTGCATTATAAAACGTTTTTATTACTGTTAAACGGGGTACTATCGAAACATATGTACAGTATTACTGTTACCAATAAGAAGATTTAATCCAATATGATTTCCAATAATTAGGTTAAATGAAAGTTTAATTTATCTCTAAAGATAGATTGGTGTATTGTAGAAAAGAGAATCTTTTGTAGAAAAGAGAATCTTTTCCAAGATTTACAGATTTGGGCACTTTATTTAGGTTCTTCTCTCCTACGAAGCTACGTGGAACCACCGTATGTCTTTTTCATTATTTTAAATATATATATATATATAATAAGTTAATAACGTAGTAGCTAATATATGCCATTAAAAATAAAAAGCTCATTTTCTCTTTTGTACATCATTTATATTTGTAATAACTATTTTCTTCTATAAATCTCAAATGCTTATTTAAAATTTTATATTTCAATTATTTAAATTTCATATTATTATGTCAATGTATATCATATAATTATTTAGTCTATGCTTTTTGTGGACAAAAAAAAATTAATTTTGTGGAGAAAAGTAAAATTATTTGTAAACATGTCTACCTTAAATACTCCATTTTCAGGGGTTTAAAATTTAATTTTGGGTTTAAGTTTAGTTTTGAATTTAGAATTTTTGTTTTTGACTTAGGATTTTTTTCTGGGTTTAAATGTATGATTTTAGGATTATGTTTTTTAAGTACAAAACGCAAAATGATACGTGGCAAGCTCTTATTGGGTTTAGAAGCCGATATGTTTTCGTCTACTCGCGGCAAAACCGTGTCTCTACTCTCTATTTCTCCTAATATTTTATATTTTCTTGTGGAATATGTATCGGTAAGAAAAACATTATTACATTTTAGATGAACTTAACTCGATGACAAAAAAAAAAAAAGATGAACTTAACTCAAAATTTACAATGATCAGATATCTAATAAAATATTAGTCTAATAACTTGTTATTGGGTTGACAAAAAAAAAAACTTGTATTGGAAAATTACGGTTAACAATAAGATAAGATTTGAATGCAAAATGCTTTCCATAAATAAGGTTAAATAAATGTTTAATTTATCAATAACTTATCTAATGTTCTTTTCTCCGTTTTTTTTTTTTGAAATGCTAAAGATTCTATACTTTGTTTAGCAAAGAAAAAACAAACAGATTATTTTGTATAACTCTACAGTATCTTCTTATCAATGTAATCTTATAGATAAAAATATTATGTCGGTTGGATATGGGCTTCACCCATTGAATGCTATTTGGCCCAAACAGAGACTCAATTATTCGCTGGGCTTGTTGTGTCTCCAAATCAGCCCATCAAGCTTAGAGGGTAAAATGGTAATTTGCAGAGAGAGCACAAGGGATTCTAGGTCACAAACATTATCCTATAAATAGAGCACTATTTATGATAAGAAGCACACAAGTCTACTCAGAGAATCATAGCTCATAGCTAATGCGTTCGTTCGTTGTTCGTAGCTCATAGCTTATACGTTTGTTCATTATTTTGTATCTCTTAGTTTATATGTTCGTCATTTGCTTCCAGTAACTCACCGTTCCTGTTCGTCGTTAATAAAGAAGTTACTTCGTTCTCCTCGAAAATCCTCTAGTTATTCGTTGTTACAACTTCGGTACAAATAATGTCGTTGACAAATTAAGAGGAACGGAATCTAATTTGTTTGTCACAAAACGTGGCAAGTTCTTGACGGATCATTGTCGGAGCTTCGAACGTAAGTAAGCGGCACTTTTTTTATATTTTGGGTCGAACGATCTCTTTCGGAAATTATAGCCGCCACCATTGACCACGTCGACATGACGTTATTTATTACATGACGTAGTTTACGTGACGTAAACAATTCTTCTTACATGACGTTATTACATGACGTAAACAATTCTTCTTCTTCTTCTCTTTTTTTATTTTTCTTTTTGTTAATTGTAAAATGTATTTATTTTACTAATTTGAAATCGAAAGATGGTAACATGAGTTACCATTGAGTTAAGTTGAGTTATAGACATAACTCATAGATAATTAAAAAATGTTAGTAAAAAATTTAAAGTTAAATTTGAGTTATAATGTGTTATGGTTGATTTAAAATTTTGAGTTATGTCTTTTATTAAAAGAGAGATAACGTTTATTAGTAAATCACATAGGAAACCGCATTTTCCTATATATCATTCATTTCTTCTTTTTCAATCAATAATCAGAGGTAGCAATTTTTTTTATACATCTAAATAACCGCATTTATAAGAAATAAATCTGTTAAGATAAGGATTTGATTTAACAAATATTTATCTATGGATTTGGCTTGCAATGAAGGGACATTAAAATTACCAAAGCAACAAGAGAAAAGGTTCATATTATACAATTGTATGTAACTCTGAATATTTTTTTTTTTTTAAGAAACCCACTTTGAGTTGAGAAGCCAAAAATCAATCATATGCAAAAGCAGCAAATGTTACTTATAGACTAGTTGCAAAGAGTTTCACAAAAAAAAAAAAAAAGTTTCACAAAAAAAAAGACTAGTTGCAAAGATTTTGACGGATTGATTGATAATCAAAATCTCACTGTTCTGAATTCTCAACAAACCAAATCTTTGAGAAACCTTTTCAAACCCAATCCACTTGTCTCTGTCAAATAGTGAATGTTATAAATTTCAAAACCCTAGATTGCATTTAACTTTAGACACAAGACATACCCCTAGTTCATACATACACACATATACATCAAAATTTCAGAAGAAAACAGAATTAAATGAAAGCAAATTAAAAAACGAGTGCTTTGATCAATCTGCGTTGTCTATCTCTCGCGATCAAACTTCATCAGCGGGTTCAAGTTTTGACGGTTAGTAAAACCGATATGATGTTGCCAATGAGAGCCACCAAGAGTATGATGCCTATGATCATCCTCATCAGATAGATATACCGTGGATTCTTGCGGTTTCTCTCCATTGGTTCCTCTCTAATAAACCAGCTCTTCTTCTCTGTCTTCATCATAGATGACGCCTTGTCTATGGATGTATCACTATCAACCGCTCTTGATGTATCTTGTTTCACCTGTGAAGGAAAGTTACATAATCATGATCTTTATAAATCCAATATATGTTGAAATCATAAAGAATCCACATATGAGCAAAGCAAAACCTCTTGTTTTGATTGTATGATGTGCGGTGTGAGTTGAGATTGCCGGGTCCTTCTACTGATGGAAAGTTCTCCATAAGTTTGTAGATCATTGGAAGACGATAGAATCTCATCTTCACCAGTCTGGAGAAAGTGTCTATTCAAACTACCAACACTATCATCACCTGGACTTGATGTTCCTTGGTAACTCTGTCATATTAAAAATGAAAATGTGAGAATACATATTACTCCATGAAAGTAACGATACAGAAAACGGGTGATGTGCTTTACCGTTGCAGATATTGATTCAGCATCACTATTACTATCACTGCTATAATCAACAATAATCCCTGACAAAGCTTTCTTCGGCCTGTGATCGTTGCGGTTCTCTGTCATAGATAAGGTCGGTCTGGATATGAAATCTTCATTGGCAAACAAATATTCAACCTGCTCTCGGTTAACATGCCTCAATCCACCGAGAAACTCATCATCATTCGGGGCTAAGTGAGGAGCTTGTGGCTGCACAGTAGAATTGTTGTTATCACTGAATAACATGTCTGGATCCAATACATCCCACAGAGAGAAATCTTCTTGTTTTTGCTCATTCATTGGAGTTCTCAAATCATCCACAGACATACCAAAGAAATTTTCTTGACCTGGCTGCTCAAACTCAAAATTTAATAGAGAGTGTGAGTAAAAGAATCAAGTACTTGAGATTAATTAATAAAGAAACATCTCAGAAACTGGACTCACCTCAGGCGCTGTGTCAATCGCTCTGACAGTACCCGAATCAGAAACCATAGATTGGCTCGGCTCACTTGCGTTATTACCACCTGATGGGACGTCTCCATCTTCACCCTTATACATTACTTGGCAGATAACATAGTTCCTCTGAACAAATTCGAAAGGTACACACACAAACATAAGTTCTTTGCCAGCAAGACAATAAAAATGAAACACACATGACAGAAGCAAATACACTAGGCCACAACCTCTATATATAGCACTTAAAACTCTGAGACAACACAGAACCTAAAATTGAGCTAGATGTAGCATCACAGGGATAAGATGAGTCAAAGCCCCAAATCCATTTCAACAAGAACATGACTTAAACAACTCAATCACAAGCTTTGGAATAAGCAAAAAAAAAAAAAACTAAAGCAAAACTTAAAACTCTTGACACAAATTGAGACTCTTTACACCACACCAACACAAGACCAAAAATTGAGCTAGAGGTAGCATCACAGGGGAACAATTAAATCAGGGAAAAAAATGAGTCAAAACCCCCAAAACCATTCCAACAAGTCTAAAGAATTAGCAGAATTCAAATGAAACATATGAGACAAAAAAGCTCCCAAAGTTCAATTTGGGAAGAAAAATCAAAAACTCTGAAAAACTAGGCCACAACTTGTATAACACTCGAACCTCAAATTGTACTAAAAAGATAGCATCCAACACAGAGGAAATTATACAACCACCAAGTAGATCAGAGATAGAAGAAACAAATCCAAACAAGTGAAGCTCAAATTCAAGAAACTCTGAGATTGATTGTTATACCTGATCTTGAGGCAAACAAGTGATGTGATACTCATGCATAACCCAAGGAGTCCAAACACCTTTAGGAACTCTACCTTCATAATACACAAGCGTCTTCTTAATCCCGATCTCGCCTCGGTTACCTCTCTTATCTTTGATTTTACGATCAACACCAGTAGCTTTCCAATACCCAGAACTTGTAGTCCTCTTCGTTACCTTCTTCTTTGCAGAAGTGTACTCCTTTGGACAGAAAAAGTACCAAACCGGATCGTCAGATTTGAGCTTCGATAACGCTACAAAACCAAAACCCAAATCCAGAATTAGAAATGATCGATGATGAGAGAAAGATGATGATTTTGAAGTGAGATAACTTACAAGGCAAGTAAATAGGGTCGTAACTACAGATATTGATCTCGCTAATGGCTTCGTCGACGAGCCAAGTCTTACCCAGAATTTTGTTCTTAAGGTAGTGGTTTATCAATTCCTCTCCCGTTGGATAAAATCTATACCCAACCAGATCCTTCACCATCTTTTCACACAGAAACAGATCGAAAAAACAAACCTTTCTAAATCGCGACTCAAATTCTCTAGGGCTTATTTCTCTCTCGGTTTCTTTTCTTTTTTCTTCTCAATCTGTTTTTGTTTTTTTGAAAGACCAACAGTACTAATACAAGTGTGGTGGTGAAGAAGAAACAAAAAAAAGATATTAATATTTAATGTTTTTCCCTAAACGTTGACAAATGAGAGGGACAAAAATCTAATGAAGGAATACGTGGCATTAAGAATAATTGTTGGACCTTCGAACCTAAGTTTCAGCTTTTTTTTTTTTTTTAATTTCGAAGGATATTTTCGGGAAAATTATAGCCGACATAATTGACGACAACACAAATACGTAATTACTACTTTCTTAAATATACTACTACTAGTATACTGTATATAGATGATCGTAATTAACTTAATTACTAAAAAAACCGAATATTACCATATTGTAGTAGTTTCAAATGCTTGGTTTTCATATTAAAAAGTGAAAATTAATAATATATGAATGTTCCGCATTCATGGTCTATGTACCAAACAATCATATGCTTAAACCAACTACTGTATATAGCTTAAATTAACTTTTTTTATGACGGCTAATTAGCTTAAATTAACTATTTTTAATCAAAAACGAGGACCTATATTGTTGAAATAAGTCCTACGATTGTTTCGATGGCTCATGGCTATATTGAAAAGAAATGTGAAGTTTTAAAGACATACAATTTTGGTCGGAGATCAGGAAAATCCGAAAATGAAAAATAAACACAAAACTTGGTGAAACTCGGAAGACAGCAGAATTTATAAGAAGAACCTTCTCCTGCTCGTGTCCATTTCAGGCTGTAATGAAACACAAAAAAGAACAAATCAATAATCGTCTAATCAATCAAACACTAAAGAACGGTAATGAAGCTTGTTTGTATGTATCTTCTGGTGACTTTTACCTTATGAACCCATTCAAATTCTCCGCCTTTGGTGTCAAAGGTTCCATGCTGTAAAGTGACTAGCTTAAGCGTGAATCGAGGACCGCATTCCTACACGTAAAATCCAAGGTTTAGTGATACAAGTATTGATAATGTTGATTGATTTACACAGACGAGTAATTTTGGATTAAACATGGATAAAACTGACCTGAAGACGAGGTTTTATTGTCTCTTGAACACCATCTTTTCCTTTATCACTCTGTTTGCTTTCCTTCGTCTCAAATATGTAACTGAATTGTGTTGAATTTGTTCAATAAAAAGTTTTAATGGAGAATGGAGCAAAAGCAACTTGAAGAAGAAAAAGGTGCAATTATGTACCGATGATGTCTGAAAAATATAAAGTCACGCTGGTTGTGAAATGTTACAACTCTCCTACCACGGAAATTAGGATCCGGAGGGAAGAGTGATTGGAAAAATCTGAGAAACAAGAAAAAATCTAACATCAGCAAGAAATCAAAGAGACCATAAAGAGATGTCAACACTAAGAAAACTATACCTCCCAACACGATTCCCTAAACGCGTTGTAAAGTTATTCAAAACCAGTTCCGGTTGATGGCTTGTAGGATTTCCATGATTCTGCAGTTATATTTAACATCCAATTCAGTGATCACTAATCTACACTCGATGTAGAGAAGAGTAATGTTGTGCTCACATACCTTAATATCCTTCCTTAGAACAAGATTTGACAATTTGAAATGAGCAGTAGGACCAGTTGGCAAACCGATGATAAGAAGGGCGTCTACATATGAAACAACAAAAGCTTAAAACAAACCATATAAAGATAATATCACAGGACAAAGAAACTTGAAACTCAGATGTGAAAACTAACCAGGTTCTCTGCGATTCGTATGAACGACAATAAGAGATGTAAAATCTTTCTTCGTTGCGTATTCTACAATCTGCAGAACAACAACATCTAAAAGGTTATATAGTTGCAAAAAGAGACTAACTTCATAAGAAAACAAGTATTCTCTGATACTAATAGCAACACCTTTTTCAAATCATAAGTTCCTCTTTTCTGATAATGAGAGTTTGGTATCACCGAAAGCAACTCAGATATAAACGCAGGCCCTCTCTGCAAATCCAACAACATTACTTGAATCAAAAACCACAACAAACCTGTAGATTTCACACATTTTGTAACTTCTGTACAAAAAAAAAGACTTACAGTGGAATTGAAACGACATGTTGTGATCAAGATCTTAGGAGTAATCTCACGTCTCAGCACTGGATTAAACTCATCAGCATCAATATCAGCAAACAACTGCAAATTCAATGCCACTAAATTAGCAACAAGACAACGAATTGAATTCAAATATTGAGATGAAACAAACATCAAATCTAAACATACTTCTTCATCGTCAGGTCTGCAAACAGTTTCATCAGCTTCTCTGGTATTCTCAATCGTCTTCGGAATCATCTTTTGTGGAGGCTACAAACGAAGAACAAAAACCAAAATTAAGATCTTAAATCCAAAAACATCTTTAAAATCCCTAAAAAAATTTCTCCAGATCTTTTACCTCTTCTCCAAGCTCTAGAGCTCGTTTTTCAGCAGCGTCACGAGCTCTAATCTTCTTCTGCTTCTCCACTTTCTTCTCATGCTTTTGCTTAGCATACACTTTAGATCTCTTATCCTTGTTCTTAATCATCGAAGGAAGTATCACATTCCTCTTCTCAGTCCCATTGAAACTAGACTTTCCACGACCTTCTGATTCCATTTCCTCACCATCACCATCGCCCTTCTTCCTCTTGAAACCCATTTTTACGGCGGACGACGAACGAAGCTTCTCTCTCGTTAATCGATGAAAACGGCAAAGCTGAGAATGAAGACGACGGAGAGAGAACTTAGGGTTTATCAACTCAAAAATTAAAAATCCCTATAAAAAATGGGCCTATTCTAGGGCCCATATATATATTTATCAAACGACGCCGTATCAATCTATTAACGGGCCTAAGCCTGGGCCTTGAAGAAACATTATACGCTAAACGACGTCGTGTCAATGTTGGCTTTCAATTTCGTTTCTCAGTGGTCACTATGCGATGCGCCATGGAAGAGGAAGCGCCGTATCAGCTGCAATTTCCGGTCTATCTCCGGCGACTAATTCCCCGTTTCCACAGCTCTGTAATGTCCTTCTCGTCGCGTCTTTGTCCAAGACCTTGTCTCAATCTGGTACACGTAGCCTCGACGCGAATTCGATCCCGATTTCGGAACCTGTGGTTCTCCAGATCCTTCGTAGAAACTCCATAGATCCATCGAAGAAGCTAGATTTCTTCCGATGGTGTTATTCTCTCCGTCCTGGATACAAACATTCAGTATCAGCTTACTCTCAGATATTTCGCACTGTTTGTCGGACAGGGCTTCTCGGAGAAGTTCCCGATTTGCTTTGTTCAATGAAGGAAGATGGCGTTAACTTGGACCAGACGATGGCGAAGATACTTCTGGATTCTCTAATCCGTTCGGGTAAGTTCGAATCAGCGTTGGGAGTTTTGGATTACATGGAGGAATTAGGAGATTGCTTAAATCCTAGTTTATATGATTCTGTTCTTATTGCTCTGGTGAAGAAAAACGAATTGCGTCTTGCTTTGTCTATTTTCTATAAGCTTTTAGAAGCTTCTGATAACCATAGTGATGATACTGGTGTGGTTATTGTAAGTTATCTTCCTGGAACGGTTGCTGTTAATGAGCTCTTGGTAGGTCTAAGGAGAGCAGATATGAGGTCGGAGTTCAAAACGGTTTTCGAAAAGTTAAAGGGAATGAAAAGATTCAAGTTTGATACTTGGAGTTATAACATATGTATTCATGGATTTGGTTGTTGGGGAGACTTGGATGCTGCATTGAGTTTGTTCAAGGAGATGAAGGAGCAAAGCTCGATTTCTGGATCTTCTTTTGGTCCTGATATATGCACATATAATAGCCTGATTCATGTGTTGTGTTTATTTGGAAAAGTTAAAGATGCTTTGATTGTATGGGATGAACTGAAAGTGTCTGGTCATGAGCCTGATAATTCGACATATCGGATACTGATTCAAGGATGTTGTAAATCTTACCGGATGGATGATGCAATGAGGATTTTCGGTGAGATGCAGTATAACGGGTTTGTCCCTGATACTATTGTGTATAATTGTCTTTTAGATGGGACACTCAAGGCAAGAAAAGTCACTGAGGCTTGTCAGTTGTTTGAGAAGATGGTTCAGGAAGGAGTTAGAGCTTCCTGCTGGACATACAACATTTTAATTGACGGGTTATTTAGGAACGGAAGAGCTGAGGCTGGGTTTACTCTGTTCTGTGACTTGAAGAAGAAGGGTCAGTTTGTCGATGCCATTACGTTTAGCATTGTTGTGTTGCAGCTTTGCAGGGAAGGGAAGCTAGAGGAAGCAGTGAAATTGGTAGAGGAGATGGAAACTAGAGGTTTCACTGTGGATTTGGTTACAATTAGTTCACTCTTGATCGGGTTTCACAAACAAGGGAGGTGGGATTGGAAAGAGAAGCTGATGAAACACGTACGGGAAGGAAACTTGGTGCCTAATGTTCTGAGATGGAACGCTGGAGTGGAAGCTTCACTAAAACGTCCACAAAGCAAAGATAAAGATTACACCCCAATGTTTCCAAGTAAAGGAAGCTTCCTAGATATCATGAGCATGGTAGGTTCGGAAGACGATGGAGCTAGGGCTGAGGAAGTCTCACCTATGGAAGATGACCCTTGGTCATCATCTCCATATATGGACCAATTAGCCCATCAGAGCAATCGACCTAAGCCCTTGTTTGGTTTGGCCAGAGGTCAGAGAGTTGAAGCAAAGCCAGATTCTTTTGATGTAGACATGATGAACACTTTTCTATCTATATATCTGTCCAAAGGGGATCTCAGCTTAGCCTGCAAATTGTTTGAGATATTCAATGGAATGGGTGTGACCGATCTCACGAGTTACACCTACAACTCCATGATGAGCTCGTTTGTCAAGAAGGGTTACTTCAAAACCGCCCGTGGAGTGCTTGACCAAATGGGTGAGAATTTTTGCGCAGCAGACATAGCAACATACAATGTAATAATCCAAGGATTAGGAAAACTGGGAAGAGCTGACTTAGCCAGTGCGGTACTCGACAGACTCACAAAGCAAGGAGGATATCTAGACATTGTAATGTACAACACATTGATCAACGCGCTTGGGAAAGCAAACCGATTAGATGAAGCCACACAACTGTTTGATCACATGAAGAGCAACGGAATAAACCCAGACGTTGTGAGTTACAACACGATGATCGAAGTGAATAGCAAAGCAGGGAAATTGAAAGAAGCATACAAGTACTTGAAAGCGATGCTAGATGCAGGTTGTTTACCTAACCACGTAACCGATACAATCCTGGATTATCTTGGGAAAGAGATGGAGAAAGCAAGATTCAAAAAAGCTTCTTTTGTACGAGACAAAACAAATAATGATACTTCCTCATAGTTTTAATGTAATTTCAAATACAGAGCAATAAAGAAAAAGATTATAAACAAAAAGATACATCAGTCGCAATCAGAAAACCTAAACAATCTCTATATGTTGTTTGATTCACAAAAGACTCGAACCAAATCAAAAGAGGCCAAAGAGAATAGAAAACCCAAGAAGCATCATCCAGACAATGTGTATCAAAAGCAGAGCTTGTCCAGGAACAGACAAACCAACGCCATTACCAACATCACAAGCTCCTTGTTTAACAACACGAACACCATGGCACAAAGCATCTACACACCCGCACCAGTAAGTAACGCTGTCTTCACCGCAAACCGGATCAGGCCTGAAACACTGAACCGGACACGAAGCCGGTTTAGCAATTCCTTCACAGAATTCGCTTCTGTTTTTTTCACCGTTGATCTTCTCCGAAGGTAACCTAATCTCTCCTCCTTTAACAATCTCCGTCGAAGGATCAGCGATAACCAAAGATAGATTCAGAAGAATCAGAAAAAGAAACGAAATTACGGCCAATGACGGCGAAATCGTCGACATTGCCGAAGTTTAGATCTTGAATTTCGCCGGAGAATTTGTCAGAAACCCTAAAATCTGAATGCAAGATTTTTTATCTTTTCTCTTTTGGGTTTTTGCCTTAAGAAGGTAAAGAATCTGAGAAGAAGAAACGTTGTTTCCTCTCTTTGCCTGAAAGGAAACAACGAATGAGAAAGAAAAAAAAATTCAATAGAGGAAAAAAGAAAGAATCAAGAAAAATCTTTGACAGAGATGACTTTATATATATTAAATTATTTAAAAAAGGCAAATTGAAAAAGAAAAAGAAAAAAAAAAGAGAGAAGAAAATTTTGTTTTATTTATTGTTGGCAGAAAAAAAGGAATGTGTTGTGAACTGTGTCTTTCATTAATAGAATAAGGGATATATATACAAGGATAATAGCAGGATACAGAGAATAAGTTAAAACCCTAATGGGCCATGGGCCGGTTATGGAGTCCATCCATATGGTTTATAACACTCCTCCTTGGAAGACATAACCGTGCCCAATACTAAACCGGGATCTCTATAATGCGCTGGGGAATGTTGCCTCATTAAAACCTTACCAGGAAAACCCAGTGGGACAAAACCATGGTGAAGGAAAAAGAGTACAACACGCATTACTCCCCCTGATTTGAGCATCAGGGTAGATCCTTAAGTCCGCGCATCCCGATCTGATGAATGAGCTTCCGGAACGTTGAAGTCGGCAATGATTTGGTGAATAGGTCGGCTGAATTCTCACTTGACCGGATCTGTTGAACTTTGACCTGACCGTCCTTCTGTAATTCATGAGTGAAGAAGAGCTTTGGCAAAATGTGCTTCGTCCGGTCTCTCTTAGTGTAGCCGTCCTTGAGTTGAGCAATACAGGCTGCGTTGTCTTCAAATATGATGGTCTTTGATGTAGTAGTAGCTGCGCCTTAAGGAAGGCTGCCTACGTACCCTTGGAAGGGATCAAGCCACACGTAGTTCCTATTCATTGACCATGCCATAATCTGATCTTATGAATAACCTGCATCAGCAAATCAAACTAAACCAATGCAAACTGGACCTTCTTTGGTTAGATCAGTATAGAATAAACCCAAGTAAACAACACAGGAAGAATAAACTTTAAAATTTAACCAAACCTTCCTTTAAACCTTTCCAGTGCCTTTGGGTTGATCATGAACTAAATTTAGATAGGAGACTCACGGCAAAACAAATGTTTGGTCTAGTGTGTCTAGCCAAATTCATTAGAACTCCTATGGCACTGAGGTATGGCATTTCTGGACTAAATGGATCACTATCCAATCTGAGGCTTCTCACCACCATTGGGCCTGGTCAATGGGCGGGCCTGGTCCTTATTAAATTTCCTTGAGTACTCTTTCAGTGTATGCCATTTGATGCACAAGGATTCCATTATTCACGTACTCAGGTTGTAATCCCAAACAGAACTTAATTATTGCCTAGGTCTTTCATTTGAGATTCTTTCTTTAGATATACTCAACTGTTTGGGCGATTACCCAGAGGTTTAAATCATTCATATACACTGCTATGATTACAAATCCTTTGTTTGCAAACTTCTTGATAAAAATACATGGACTGATCGGATCGTTTTTATAGCCTTCTCTGATGAGATATTCGCTTAACCGGTTATACCACATACGTCCGCTTTGTTTCAGTCCATATAAGGATTTGTCCAGCCTTATGCAGTGCTGTTCTCGAAAATCTTTCTTATCTTTGAGCTCAATACCCTTTGGTAATCTCATATATTATCCAGTGGACTTATATAAATATGCAGGCATTACATCCATTAGCCGCAAATCTTTCTCTTTTATATAGCCAGACTTAGCAAAAATTTAAATGTCTTAGCATCCACCACAGGGGAGTATATCTCCTCTATTTCTGGTCTTTGTGTGAATCCTTGTGCGACAAGCCGTGTCTGATATATCACGCTTTCACTATGTTTATTTCACACTATCACAAAGACTCATTTGTCCCACTGGCTTTACATTGAATGGTGTCCTTTGTATTGGACCAAACACATTCTTCTTCTTAATGATTCTTAGCTCCACGTTTTATGGTCTTGTACCATTTTAATCAATCAGGTCTTTGAGTGCACTCTAGTATAGACGTGGGCTCCTGATCCTCATTCATTTCAGTTGCTACCTTGTGCGCAAATATATTATCATTGATGTCGACATCTTTTCGGTTCCATTGTATTCTAGACATGATATAGTTTATAGAGATCTCTTTACACCTTCAGAACCTTGAGGTTTGGCGTCCCAAACCTCATTGATTGGTACCTTAGGGTTATGTCTATTAGCCGGCCATGTCTATGGTTTCTTGAACCTTCTCGGTTTCCCTTGCACCTTTCTTTGATTTCCGAGGGTTCTTGTCTTTGGAACCTTTTGGGTCTACCACGTTTCTTACGTGTTGTAGCCTCTGTAGCAACTTGATTGTGTTCCTTGTGAACATCAATACGTACTGGTGCATTACAAGCTGGGATGTACGATTTTGTTACTCTCTTTGGGTCATTATAGGAATCTTGGCAACTGTTTTAGCTAGCTTTTGCAGATATATAGTCTTTTGGATCTCTGATGGAGTCCGAGGATCTTGCCATGTGAAGGATGTTTGATTCCATGTAAGTTCTTTGACCAGCTTGTTAGTCTCTCCACCCAGTGTTGGGAAAACGGATTCATTGAGATGACAATCCTTGTATCTGGCCTTTGGCTCGAGATACTTAATGATGGTGGGAGAATCATTTTTAACGTATATTCCCATCCCCTTTTGAGGTCCCATTATTTGCTCTCTGTGGTGGTGCTATGGGTAAATAGGTGACATACCCAAATGTCTTTAGATGGGACATATCTGGCTCATGACCTGTGAGTAGTTGGGATGGTGAATATCTATGCTCACTAGAATGGCCGGATGCGTATAAGCTCTTGTTGCATGTAATATTGCGTGTCCCCAAGCAGCTACTGTGAGTTCAAGTATGGACATGTGCCACGGGGTATACTACTCTCCCCCTCATGGACATACTGTAGCCATAAAAACGCTTGAGACATAATTTACCAGCATTATCTAGACATATAGTCTTAAGTATGTGGGCTCACAGACTTATGGTCTGGGCCAGCAATCTAGCAAACACCAAGTTTCTAGTTGCTTTGACTGGTGATGGCCTTAGTATGAGTTTCCCTTGTGTACATGCTACACACATGAGGTCCTTAAGGGGTGTGCCCTTTTGATTTTAATATCAGCTTTACGCATCATGTTAGAACCAGGCTGGCCAAGCCGGTCATGCCATTAGTGAATTTCTCAGTAAACCCTTTTGTTTATTGTATTAGCCTTTATCATATTGACCTTGGCATAGTAAAGGTCTATGACGCGGGTATAGTCTCTAAGACCTTCTCATGGTCTTGGGTGCTCTTAGTAATATATGGGAATCCTTTGTTCCCTTCACCCTTAGTTTCAATGTGGAAACCAATCAAACACATTTCTTTGAAACTCAACAAGCCCCTTTGGGCTGGGTGAATATGAAGCATCTGAGGATGCGTGCCCTTGGGAATATGGGCCTGCCATGGGCCTGCCCTTAGCCTTAACTAAATTTAGCTATACCCGCAATTTGGCTAATGAACCATGTCTTTAAATATTTTGTTTATTGAATTCTCATAACTCATAAATCAATCAATTCAAAGTCAATCAATTTTGGCTAATGAACCATGTCTTCACCATCGTGATGAACTAAATGAGCTTCTAGATTCTTTTCAAACTCTCTTGATAGAGATCAACGAGATGCTTAGGTGACCTGCACGTCTTAGTCCAATGGTTTCCCCATTCCTCATCAGTGGCAAACAAGTTTATTTGAGTGTTGTGGTTTGGGTATACCGCGGCCTCTACCTCGATTACGACCAAAGTCGGGTCGGCGGCCTTAACCATATGAATGGTTTCCTTAATCATATAAATTATAATTGCCACTTCTACCACGTTCATTCCATTTACCATGACTGTGGCCATGATACTTATCTCTTTTGACGTGGTTAGACTCATTAGTCTCTTTAGGCTCTTTAGGCTCTTCAGCCCAATGGGCTTCTGATAATGGGGTAGGACCAGGAGGTCTCATTTCACTATTTATAACTCATTGTTTTGCTCAGCAAGTAGCAAAACAAGAGTTTAGACTCGCATATGTGGTAAAACCTTTTTCACGATATTGTTGCTGAGGCAATATATTGTTTGTGTGAAAGGTCGAAAATGCTTTCTCTAGCAAGTCATTCTCAGTAACTTCCTCACCACGGAATCTCAGTATTGACACTATTTTAAATAGTACTGAGTTATACTCATTCATGGATTTGAATTCCTGGAATCTGAGATTCTTTCGATCGAATCGGGCTTTTGGGTAATAGCACCGTTCTTTTTTTTTTTTTTTTTTTTTTTTTTTTTTTTTTTTTTCAACTCTGTCCTGAGGTGCAGAGGATTCTTAATAGTGAGGTACTGATTTTGAGACTCTCATTGAGGTGATGGCGTATGTTAGTAATCGCCTTATATTTTTCTCTTCTGGTGTGACATTGTTTCCTTCCACAATAGATTCACCAAACCCTTTTTCTTTTAGGACAATCTCAGTGTCCAAAGCCTATTTTAAATAATTGTCACCAGAGGCATTGAGTGTCGTGTATTAATAATAGTTGATTTCTGATATCTATAATATATAGAGTTAAATGAGAACTCATGTAATCGGTTAGACCAAGTCATGCGGTATTTAAGACCGAGCCATGCTTGTCTTCAGCAAGTGTTTTCTAAAAAATCATGTTATATATATATGGATGAAATCAACCCTAGAAGATTGATCTAGTATGCAACAACCAAACAATCAGATCATACTAGATTAGGATATCAGATCATACAATCAAATCACATGTGCCAATTTTCATGCAAATTTTATCTTATCAAACTTTAATTGGATCATGTATATAAAGCATAATAAATAAATAGCACTTATCTTGATGAAGGCGTCAATAGAAATCAGAGACAGAGACACCATGAGGAAGTCCTTGTATAGCTAGATATGACAAATGATTCATCAACTGAGAG